CCGTTCGCGTCTCCTCGGGATGATGGAGAGGGAGAGTGTGGACGGTGTTTCCTGAGAGCCGCGTTGTCGGTTCGACCCGAGAAGAGATGCGAGGATACCTCTGCAGACGAGACCTGCGACGGATCGGGCAGAGGTCGACGTTGCAGGAACGCTTGGACGATCGAGAGGGCCGGATCGCGGACTTTGACGTCCCACTGGCTCTTGTCGGTCGCATCCAGCAGGTACAGCTGCACGTCCTCGCCCTCACCCTCGCCCTCGCCTCTTGTTGCGATGCTCGAGCTGCCGCTGCCCCCGCTGCTGCTTGTGCGGCGTCGCCGCTCCTTGGCCTGCCGCATAAACGACTGCGCCAGCCGCACCTCTGGGATGAGCTTGTTGTGCACCCACTTGATCTGGTCCTTGGCGTACCGCCGCGTCGCCTGCTGCATCTTCTCCTTGGCCTCGCGGAACAGCTGCTGCGCCACCTTGTCCCCTCGCGCACCCTGCCTCGTCTGCTCTTGCTGCGCCGAAACCGGCGCCGGGGCCGGGGTCGTGTCGCGTTCAAAGTCTCGGAACCGCCCGTCGAGCTCCTCGAGACGCGACAGGTAGGCGTCGAACTGCTTGTACCCGATTGTCTGGAAGATGCCCGCCTGGTAGTTCTGCTGCAGCGGAGGAGCGTTCCCGGCCTGCGAGGCGGCGGCGAGGTCGTCAAAGATCGACTTGGCGATCCGCCGCATCTCCTTGATCTCGTCGAGCAGGCCGCGGTCCACCATCTCGTCGACGCGGTCGTCGAGGCGGCGCTTGAGCGTCTCGGGCTCGCACCAGACCCAGAAGAGGAGCCGGCGCAGCCCATCGACGGGCGTCGCTGCTGCTTCGCTCCCCGATCCCGCCGCATCGCCGCCGTCGGCCTCGCGCCGGCGCCGCTCATCGTCCTGCCGGGCGATCCAGTCCGAGTGCCGCCGCCCAGTCTCCTTGATGATGCGGAGACTGTTGCCCACCTTGCGCGTGTCCTTCCAGTGCCATCTCGCCGCCATGTCCGGGTCCAGCTTGTCGAGCAGCTTCCACATGGGCAGCGGGCTCTCGGTCTGCAGAGCGATGAGCTGCTTCGAGCTCGCCTTGTGCGAGACCAGGTCGAGGATCGAGCGCTCCTCGGGCGAGAGACGCGAGATCTGGTCGCTCAACTGCGGGTCGGCCTGGGCCCCCTCTGTGCTGACGTCTTCGGATCCCGTCGTCCCGACGGCGTCTGAGCTGGTCACCAATCGTCCCGGAAAGAGCAGGTGCTGGAGGTAGTAGGCCGTACCGCCGGCGATGACCGTTAGCGTCTTTTGCTCCCGGCTCGACAGGTCAGCATGGATCTTCTTGACGTCGCGGATGAAGCGCGCAACATCGTACTCCTGTCCCGGCTCTAGGAAGCCCATGAGGTGGTGCGGGACACCCTTCATCTCGTCCTCGGTCGCCTTGTTGGTGATGATATCGAGGCCGCGGTAGATCTGCATGCTGTCGCACGAAACGATCTCGGCAACGCGGTAGTCGCCGTACTGCCCCGCTCGCGACGAGGCAATCGCCTCGGCGATTTCGACAGACAGCTTCGTCTTGCCCGTGCCCGTCGAGCCGAAGATGGTCACAATGTCGCCCTCGAGCCGCGCCGGGCCGTTAGCGGCACTGCTCTCGTCAGTGGCGTCGGTCCACTTGCCACGGAGCGAGGGTCCAGCCTGGCCCGCAGCCTCTGTATCCGCTCGATAGATCGAGTCTCCTTGCGCGCCGGTTGGTGCGGCCAGATCCTGCGCAGGCCGCACGGGCAGAGGTGGGCAGCAGAGAGGATCACGGTCGAACGCGGCAGCAGCAGACGAGGAAACAGGACAGGCAGGAGGGGGATGCAGAAGGGAAGGGAAAACAAATTGTATTTGGTCTGAGCATGCATGGTCTAGAGTCCAAGATCCTGAAGGGCAGGGGCGAAGAAGAAGGTGCAATGACAGGGCGGTCGGCATGGGACTGATTCAGGGTGCCAAATTGGCCAAGGAAATGCGGGCGTGCACTCTGCGGAACGCCTCTACTCACCTTCTCGATCTGGGCAGCGGCGATGGGGTGGTCTGCGGAGTCCAGGAGGGCCGGCGAACACAAAGACAGCCGTGTCAGCAAGCGATCGAAGATGCTCAGGCCGTAGACGAGATCGCCGTGGACTCACAGAAGCTCCTGTTGTCGAGGAACGTCTTCTTGGCGAGCTCGGGCTCGACCTTGTTGAGGGCGCGGAAGATGGTCCTGCAGAACTTCATGCGACCCACGCCCTTGACCCACTGTGCCGCCTTCTGCGCGTACTCGCCGCCCTCGACCTCAAGGGCGACCTCGAAGAAGCGGAGGAGGACCTCGGAATTGGTGGCGGCCGAGAAGCCGTAGACCTGGTCGAGCTGCTTGGTGACGGCGAGCGGCATCTTGGGACCCGTGTGGAGCTTCTCGAGGAAGACGACGACCTGGTTGGCGTTCCATCCCTTGATGTCGTCCGGCGAGAAGCCCTCGTCCTTGACGGTCGACTTGCCCGCGACGACGCGCTCCCAGCGGGCGGCGAGGCTGAAGGCCTGCTCGGCGAGCGTGGTGTCGTACTCCATCTTGACCGGCAGCTCGAGGCCCTCGCCGTGGAACCAGGCGTCCCAGTCGACCTGCTTGAGCTTGGCGGTGATGTCGTCGGAACCCTTGTAGAAGTCGAAGAGGTGCTCCTGCCACTCCTCGGTCGAGACGGAGCGGTTGTAGAAGGCGTGGAAGTAGCTCTTGGCGTAGGGGAGGAAGTTGTCCAGGCCGCCGACGGTCCTCTCGAGGTAGAGGAGGAAGTTGCTGCCCTTCTCGTAGGGCAGGGAGCTGAAGGCGTCGTCCGGGTCCTCGCCGTCCTTGTAGAGCGGGATGAGGCGCTGGAAGCGGGGCGTGTCCTTAAACTGCTCGAGGGCGTCCTTGAGCGCCTTGGAGCCGATGATGTACGAGAAGGCGCGGTGAGCGGGGCCCTCCTTGGGCCCGTGGACGCTCTGGAGCAGCAGGCGCTCGAGGTAGACGCACCAGCCCTCGTTGAGCCAGAAGTGCGTCCAGTTAGAGCACGAGGTGAGATTGCCGGCCCAAGAGTGGCAGAGCTCGTGCAGCAGAACGTCAGTCAGGCTGCGGTCGCCGGCGACGAGCGTTGGGGTGAGGGTGGTGAGGTTGGCGTTCTCCATGCCTCCGTAGGGAAACGAGGGGGGCAGGACGACGCTGTCGTAGCGCGTCCACGAGTAGGGCGAGACGACCTTTTCGGCGTGCTCGAGGAAGCGCTCGGCGTCTGCCTCGAACTCCCACTGGACGGCGTCGGCCATGGGCGGTTCTGCCCAGATGCCGGTCCTCTCGCCGAGCTTCTTGAACTCGAGATCGCCTCCGACGATGGCGATCAGGTAGCTCGGAATTCCGATGGGCTGTCGGAAGTGGTAGGTGCCCGCCTCGGCCGGCTTGGAGTCATCCTTGAGCGCCGACATGAGGACGGGGATGGGCGATTTGACGGTCGAGGTGTAGGTCACCTTGTGCGAGGGCGAGTCGATGCAGGGAACGAGGGAGCGGCAGTGGATGGCCTGGCACTGCGAGTAAAGGAAGGGGTTGGTCTTGCCGGCCGTCTGCTCCTTTGCGAGCCAGCCGAGCGCGGTGCACTGCTCGGTGGTGCTGTAGGTGATGTCGATCTTGATGCGGTCGCCCTTGCTGCGGCTGCCGACGGGGATCTCGAGGGGTGAACCCAGCGCGTGGCTCCGCTGCCCGAGTTTGGCATCGACCTTGGCGCCATCGACCTCGGTCTGGTCGATACGGAGGAAGCTGGCGTCTAGGGTCACTTTGCTGATGCCGTCCTTGAGCACCTCAATCTCGTGCGACACCTTGCCAGAGATGATGCGGGCCTCCCAGTCGATGGCCCAGTCGAGGTGGAGGTGGACGGGCTTGTAGGCAGCGACGTCGGCGAAGGTGTGGATGTCCTGCGGCACCCTGGCGGCGGGCGCAGGCACCGAGGTCGGGTTGGGCGGCGTCCAGGTCATCTTGGTGTCGCAGGGGCTGCTGGCGGTCGAGGCGAGACGGAGGCTGGTCGGCGCAGGGGAGAGGCGACGAGGACGAGGACGGGTCGCAAGGGCCGTGACAGAAGGAGCGAAAAGAGACCGAAGGGGCGAAACGGAAAGGGAAGCAGCGCGGCCAGGAGCGAGGTGGGACTGAAGCGAACGAAGGGGAAGCCTGCTGGAGCGAGCCGACAGCCAGGCCATGTACAGCTAGTAGTGTAGGTACTTGTGGTCCAGGCTCAGCGAAGGGGGCGGTGGTGGACAAGAGGCAAAGGAGGCGGGAAAGCCGCCGGCGGTCGGGCCACAGCCACGCGCTGCTCCCCGCCCGCCTGCCTGCTGGCTTTCCACCCGCCGTGACTTTTTTTCCCTGCACCCGCTTTTCTGTGCCGCTTCGGCGGCGGCCCTTCCGAGGGGGCGGCGGCCCTGGCCGGCGAACAGGACGGGCTCAGGCCGACAGACGCGTGGCAGGAACGAAAGTGTGCGCTTCGACTGTGCCCGAAGCGGCTTGCAGTCCATCGAGACCTAGGCGATCGAACAAGCCAAGCAGCGACGGGGGAAGAAGGGGAACATGAGAGAAGAAAGCGCGAGAGAGCGAGAGAAGGCGGAGGGGAGGAACCATGTACAGGGCGACGAGTCTCGCCAAAGGGCAGGGTTGAGCAGGGCATCGAGCAGCGACGATCCTCGAGCATCGACGAGGCAATTGACAACTCCCGAACATCCAGCGGTGATGTTGCTATCGCTCACTGAGCTCGCGATCAAACGACGTGTTTCTGCACCATCTGCAGCTCAGAAGTCGTGGCGGTCCTCCATCGGGTCGCGGATGGTGCGGCCGTTCTTGGCGCCGCCGCTGCCGCCTCGGGGAGCCGCCAAGTCGCTCGAACGGTCGTCGTCGTAGCTGCCAAAGCTGTCGCTGCGGTACGAGCCCCGCTGCGGATCGCCCATGACATCCGCCTCCCTGGCCCACCGGTCCTTTTTGCCGCTCTTCTTCTTGCTCGAGCCGGACAGGCCTCCCCAGCGGCTTCCCCCCGAGCTTCCGTGGTGCTGCTGCGCATCCTGGTTGAAGCTGTTCGAGTCCCGCGAAGAGTTGTCGCCGGCACCGAGGCCGTAGCGCTCAGCGTAGCGGCTGCCCAGGCTGCGTCGCGAGCTGGAGCGGGAGAGGCTGTTGGCGCTGTAGTTGCCGTTGCCGTGGCGGTCGCCGCCGGAGCCATCGTCAATGATGGCGCCAGTGACGGGATCCCGCACTGGACGGCCGCCGCCCCTCTGCCCGCCCCTGTTGTCTTCCTCGTACGGGTCCTCCCTCTCGGCCCGCGGGCTGCCGTCGAGGTTGTTGGCCCACGGTGCCGGGAAACGGTGCCCGCCGCCAATGTTGCCGCGCCTCGAGTGCTCGTCGAGGCGGTCGTCGCGCCTCGTCTCTCCAGTGACGGGGTCGACGACGATGTCGGCATTCTGGAAGTCGGTGGCGCCTTGACCGTAGCGGTCCGACCAGCCGGAGCCCGTCTTCTTGACGCGGTAGTCCTTGACCAGCCCGTACCGGATGGCCCAGGCAGGCGAGTGCTTTGCATTCTTGTTGTTGCGGATGTTTTGGATCCACTGTTGCGCGTCGGTCGGACAGGGCAGAGGCGGCGATGGTCAGCCAGAGAGCCTTGTATGCAGCATGAGAGCAGGCTAGAGAGTCACTCACGAAGTTGTGTCCTGCAGCAGCGGGGGCCCGAGACGGTCGCAGCAGGGTTCCGCAGAGGCTGCTGGTCAGTCAACAGTCGCTCACATGCGGACAATAGAAGCTCCGAGACGAGCCACTCACCGTGGCCGGGGATGTAGCCGCAGATGGTGAGGAAGATGTTGATGAAGAAATCAAACCCGACACCGAAGCGGACGAGCACGGCTGTTGGCGAAAGCAGGGTGCGGATGTGAACAGCGAGGTCAGCCATGGTGAGCCAGAGTAGCACTAGGACAGGTTCTGCAACGGCCGAGGTCTTTGACTCACCCAAGGGAGGGAGCAGCCAGCCTCTGTGAATCGAAGCGGATAGCGATTGCTGTTCAGCCATCAGAGGTTCGAGTCTTCATCTCCGGCCACTGCCGGTCTGGAAAAGTGCCATGGCTGCTTACAAGACCATGATGACGCCGTGGAAGGCGTGGTGCCTCTTGATGGGGCCCTTGCCCTTTTTCCGGGCTGGCGGCATGGCGGCAGTTTCCGAATGCGTGTGTATGCCTGTCAGCTGAAGGAGTACGAGACGAAGGATTGGATTGGCCGGAGGAGAGGCAAGGTTGGATGCGACGGACGCGGTTGGAGCGATAGAAAGATGGCGGCGACCAGGAAGGCGACGTTTCGGGGCGAAGGCGGGGCGGGCGAGCGGCAAGCGGGCGGGCGGGCAGGTGGGCAGCCAACGCGGGCAAGGGTCCGTCCGTCGTTTGAGCTCCTGCCTGGTCGGCTGTCCCGCCCCGCAGGCCAGCCTGCTGCTGGTTGCCACGCGCGCCAACCTGGCTTTGACCAGCAAGCGGGCGTGGCCAGACCAGCCCATGCCGGGTTTCGTTGGGTGTTGCCCCGCCGGCCCTTCTCCGGCGGCCCGGGAAGCACCCTTGGCTCTTGCATCGACACAGCCCCGGCTCGAGATCCGTCAGCAAGGACCGCACAGCCTCCTCCTCGCTCTCGTCTTGCGCTCACCGTCGCTACCTTGGACGGAGCGCGCGAGCGCCGAGGGGCGAGTCTGCCAGCCCCGCCTGCCAGGCCAGGCCTGCCTAGCGCTCGTCGCGGACCGCCCACGCCGGGGCAACCTCCACCTTGGGCAGCTGGTCTGGCAACGGCCAGCGAGCAGCCATCCCGCCACCATCTTCCGCCGCACCTGGCCCACCTCGACCGCTTCACTGCGCCGCACCATGTCCATAAGTGCCTCGATCTCCGCTGCATCGCGGCAGGCGAGGGTGGCCATCATCGGCGCAGGTCCCTCGGGCCTCGCAATGGCGTCCGAGCTCCTTCACCTCGCCCCCGGCTTGACTCCCGTCCTATTCGAACGACGGCCAAAGGTCGGCGGCGTCTGGACCTACGATCCCTCGCCAGGCACCTGCGACTTTCGCTTCGACCGCCGCGGGAGGGCGCACCCCGTCTGGGCAGGGAGGGGCAAGGACGGCGACGCGGACGGCACATTCTGTCCTCCGGGGCCGATGTACGACGGCCTGCGCACCAATCTGCCCTGCGACTTGATGGCCTACCGCGACGCTCCCTTTGATCCGAGCACCCCGCTCTTTCCACAGCGAAGAGAGGTCGAGGAGTACATCGACCGCTTCGCAGAGGCCAAGCGCCTCTTGCCTCTCATCCGTTTCGAGACGGCAGTCACATCGGTCCAGAGAGTCAAGCACCAGGCCGGCCAGCCTTGGGGTCGAGGCAGCGTCTGGCGAGTCCGGAGCCGGCCCATTCACGGTGGCGACCTGGTGACGGAGGAGTTTGACTACATTGTCTCGGCCTCGGGCCGCTGCAACATGCCCTCGGTGCCCTATATCGACGGTCTTTGGCACTTCCGCGGCCAGCTACTCCACAGCGCCTGGTACCGCCAGCCACACGCCTTCCGCGGCAAGAAGGTGCTGGTCATCGGCAACTCTTCCAGCGGCAGCGACATTGCGCGCGAGCTCGTGGGCCACGTCGTGCGCAGCTTTGATGGGTCGCAGCAGTGGATCGAGCAGGCCAACGCACAGCCGCCGCAGACGGGTGTCACGGTTCTGCAGTCTTATGAGGATGTGCAGAAGCCGCCGCCGCTCGACTTCGATCCGCGCGACCAGGACAGCCCCGCCTGGGCCAAGAGGATCAGAGTCGTGCCGAAGATCCAGCGCGTCGAGCCTGCAGAGGACGGCAAGGACAACGGCAGGATCGTGCTTGAGGACGGGCAGGTGCTTGACGACGTCGACGCCATCGTGTTTGGCACCGGGTACGCCTAGTGAGTTGTCGAGACGATCAAGCGTGAGAGCGTGTCGACATGCCTGCCGCCTGACCATGCTGACCGTCGACCTTCGTACCTACTACCATTCACCCACAGCGACCTGCCCTACCTCTCGCAGGAGCAGGAGCCGTTCGCTTCCGCCCCTCTTATCCCGCCGCCGCCGCCAGCCTCGACACCAGCCCCGGCATCTCTGCAGACCTACCTGTCCGAGCACCAGAGCGGCAAGGCCTACGATCCGCCCTTCCGCACCGCGCCCTTCCTGACCAACCTGGACGACTGGTCCCTGTTCTATCAAGCCGACCCGTCGTTCGCGCTGCTTGGCGCGCCGATCCGCATCGTGCCTCTGCCCTTCACCAACGCCCAGTCCCGCATCGTGGCGGCGTTCTGGGCAGGCTTGCTCGCCCACCGATTCCAGTACGGTCTGCCCAGGTTGAACCCGGATATCCCGACGACCGAACCGGACCACTGGCGGCGGTGGCTCGACGATACGGTCCCGCCATACACTGAGCAGAAGGAGGAATGCGGGGGGAGGAAGAACAAGACGTCCGATCTGGGGTACCCGGGCGACACGGCGTACCAGGACGGTCTATCCGATCTTCTCCCTGCCGAGCTGAGAACGAGGGGACAGGACGAGGACCGAGCAGTCGAGGCGTTCAGTGGCGTCGACGGCCCGGTGGAAGCAGCGAGGGCCGAAGACGAGATGGTCCCGACCCAGGCCACGGATGAAGGGTGGCGAAAAGTGGCCACGTTCCGCAACCAACGCAGGCAGACGACCAAGCGGCTGAGGCGGCAGCTGCTCGGATACTGACTGGGCGTGTCCCGCGCGTCTGCCATGGAGCTGGATGGTAGATGGCGTGCACTCGAATAGAACGGCATGTTGAACACCAGTGAGCGTCGGTGCTGGCGACTTCAATGTCAACGACTGACGGGGTTCTTGGGAACTGTGGCATCGGCTCGTTGTCCTCCTCCCCGAGCAGGGCAAGGCAAGGCTAGAATACAGGTCAAACGTGTGAAGGTACGATAGAAATACAAGGATCCACAACAGAAGAGTTCGTCGAGGGGGCCCCTCCACCGGATTGTCCAGCAGGAGGCGGGGAGGCCCGGCAATCTTTCGTTCGAGTATACTGTCATTGTCAGGTCCGGACGGGATCGTGTGCGGCGGCGGCGGCGGCGGCGGCGGTGGAGATGGTGTGTTCCTTGGCTCCGTCGTCCGATGACATGGCGTTGGCTGCCGACTGGCGGATCTTGGTCTTGGCGCGCAGCACCTTGAAGCGCACGCCGAGGGCGAGCGACTGCGCCGATCGCTTCAAACTCTCGCCTGTCGCGTTCAGACCGCCATTGGACGACGGGGGCGAGGACGACTTGCGCTGCGAGCCAGCCTCGCCCCGCCGTTGCCGCTGTGCCGTGCGCGTGTCGGCATACACCAGCTCGGCCTGTTCTGGCAGGGCCGCGGGGAACGAGGCCGTGATGTTGTGTACCGCCGAGGACGAGTACTTGGTCGTCGGGCCGCCGTGGGATGAGGAGAACTGCGACGACGCCTCCGAGCACGAGCGGTCGCGTCCGCCCCAGGCGTTGTCGTCGGCGAGCGGGCGGGTGGCGAACTTGGGCGAGATGCCCGCGTCGGGACTAGAAGATAGCGAGTCAACCAGGATCCCGCGCTGCTCGGGATGCGCCGAAGACCGCTGCTGGTGACTGCCGCTGTGCGCCGAGTGACCCCGCTTGCCCTTCGACAGGTCCTTGATCGACGAGGCAGACAGGGATCCGGCGATCGACGAGATGCCAGAGTGCTTGCGCTCCTTCTTCTCCTTTTGCACCAGACCGGCAGGAAAGTAGCCGGGCGCCTCGGGATCCGTCCATGTCGCGGCGGCGGCCGAGTTGGGGGTGAGGAGGTCCTCGTCGACGTAGCGCGGCCGCGGACCTGCCATGGGCGTGAGCGGATCGAGCCTGTCGCCGTCCTCGTCCTGGTAGTCATCGAAGCCGACCGACCGATGGAAGTCGGGCCAGGTGGTGGAGCTGCGCGGGATGCCACCTTGTGTCGGCGGCTCGTCGGCGTAGCGCAGTCTGAAGCTGCCAAACGGCGAGATGGGTGGTGGATCGCGAGGAGACGCAGAGGACTTGGAGGTGCTGGAGTGACTCAGGGCGGCGTCGCCGCACGACGACAGCTGGGGCGAGGTGCGGGCAGTGCTTGCGGCCGAGTGGTGGATCGAGTCCGATAGGGCGTCGACCGATGCCCCGGCGTGCGAAGGTGACGAGGACGGCGAGACCGGCTGCGCGGCGTCCAAACTAAGTCTGCCGGCCGTGCCTTGTATCCGCTGGCGGCGCTGCGAGACGCGTTGGGGAAGGTGTCTTGCGAATGCGGTCACCTTCGACGGGGCCGTGGCGTCCGTCGAACTCCGTTGTGACGAAGTGTGATTGGCATGGCGAGATCGGCCGGCGTCATCAGAGGAGCCATCGTGCTGAGTCTCGTCGGCGTGCTGGCGCTGCTGCTCGAGAGCGAGCTGACGCATCCTCCGGTCGAGGTCGACTAGGCCGGTGAAGCCATCGCTCCAGTCGTCGAGCTGGGGCGAGGCGTGGCTCGACTTTCGGCTGCTGACGGCGCTGGTGATGATCCCGGTGCCAGTACCGGTGCCGCTGCCGCTGCGATGCGGGTTGGTCGAGGATCGGCGGCTGGATCGCTCCGACGAGGAGCGCGCACCGTCTTCGGCTTTGGCGTGCTTCCTCTGCAGACGGGCGTTGATGATGGTGCTCATGCCGATCGAGAGGGGGAAGGCGTCATTGCCTGCGCTCCTGGATCGCGTCGGGTTAAATTGGGACGCCGAGCCGTGGCTGGATTTCGGTGGCGAGCTCTTGCTGGTCGATGGTCGGCTGCTGGACTGGACCTTGTCGCGAGTGCTCGGGGCCCTGTCTGTGCACCAGGTCTTTCCTCGCCTGAGCGCTGGATCGGATGGCTGTGAGGATGCCAGAGGTGCTGGTGAGTTGCTGCTGGTGTCGACGGCTTCGATGTGCTGAGGAAGGTAGGCGTCGGGAACGGCGGTGGCGCGCGCGTCGAGGATGGGCTGCACGGATGTCGTTGGTTGGGTGGCGGGTAGGGTACGGTCGTCGCCGGTGGTGGGAGGACCGCCGCCGCCGCCTATATAGAATGTGCTCGAGGGCGGGTTGACATGAGCCGGGCGGTGGCAGTGCCTGGCGGCCTCGGAGGCGGATGCGGAGGCGGCGGGAGCGATGCCATCAGCAGCGGCAGCAGCGGTTCCTGGATGCGGTGGCAGCGGCGTCGGCGAGGGCGTCGTTGTGGTCGGACCCTGAACCTGGCGGGCCGCTGCTGCGTGGAAAGCGGCGACGGCGGCGGCGGAGGTTCGGCCGTCGACGTCTGATGGATCAGCACGGGGAATGCCCTTTGTGCGGCGGCTTTGATGCGACGATGCTGGGCCGGCGTCGCGGTGGTCGTGGCCCTGGCTCGATGGGGAAGGCGGTGCGGACGGAGGATCGGCAGCCTCTGCTCGTTGGCCGCAGGCTTGGCATGCGGTGGTGCCGGACCCCGTCGGCCGGGCCGCGTGCTGGTGGTTGATGTGGAGGAGGGACCGATGATGGGCGCCATCGTCGCACGCGGGCGACGACCAAGACGGCGGGGACGACGACGCAGCGGCTACTTCTTCTGTTGGCGGCCAGCGTGACAGCGGGTGTCAAGGCCCGATCGGGCAGGGGAGGAAACCAAAAGGCAGGCAGGCACGCGGCCGCTCTTTAGGTCAGCCGATTTTCACACGCGTCGGAAAGAAGAGGCGGGGCGGGCAGGCCAGGCCAGGCCGGGGCAACAAGGGGCCCGCCCAGGTGGAGGACGGCGTACGGGTCACATCTTCCGGATGAGGTGGGAAAGAGATGAAAAGCGCAGCTCCAAGGGAGGGACACAAGAAGACTCACCTTCTATGCTCGGCGACGACACGCTTCCTTCACGGCGATGGTGGTCAGCCTGCTGACGAGGGCCGCGACCAAGCTCGCCCGGCGACAACGCATCCTCTAGCGTCACCCCGGCCCCGCCGGGCGGGGTCTCACTTGGCCGAGATTCGACGGTTGCGGGCGCCGGGCTGGCCGTCGGCGGCCTCGTTGGAACGTGGCGTAGAGAGGTACGCATGCCGGAGTCCAGTCCGATATCCTCTCGCTCGTCGACACCGCGGCCGCCGGCGTCGTCATGGTCGTCCTCGTCGCTGCTGCTGCTCAACAGGCAAGCCTCGTCATCGTCGCCGAGGATGTCGCCGTCGACCTCGAGCCCAAGGCCGGACGCGTACCTCGATGCGTGGCGCGGCTGCTCAAAGTCCGAGAGCCCGGCGAACGCAGAGGGTCGGCCGAGGAAACCAGCGGCGCCTCCGGACCTCGATCCGGAGCGCGAAGTCGACCCACGGCTGTCGGACGGCGACGACTTGCAGGACAGCGAACGGCCGTGGCGGAATCGCTCCGAGACACCCGCCGTCTGGCCGGCAAAGGTGCCCGTCATCATCTCGAGCGTGTGCCGCACGAAGCTGGGGTCGTGCAGCTCGTCATCGTCGCCCAGGATGGGGTTGAGGTCGGCCTGGTCTAGAGACGGACTGGCCATGGGGTCGCCCGCTGGGAGCGAGGCCAGGTGGGTCGTCGAGCCAGACTTTGGCGACAGATGCGAAGGTGTGTTCGAAGCGGCCGGCGAGGGTACGACCGATGACGAGTAGATGCGGTCGCGGTTCTTGGTCTTTTTCCTCGACAAGAGGCGCTTGGGCAGGTCGGAACCTCCCGAAGAGCTGCTGGACCGGGCTAGCGGGCGTGAAAGGGGCATGTCGGCAGTAGAGGCGTTGCCGGGGAGAACCGTAGTCCCGAGATGATGCTGTGTGGGCAATCTTGGGGCGCGGAACGAACCGAGGGGGACCAGAATGGACCTAGCTCGAGGGGCGCTGAAGACTTGGGGTTCAAGGCCATATATGGGAGCATCAGAAAGAGCAGACCCAGGCTGCCGCGACGAGGCCAGAGTCTGGCTGGGGCACCGAGGCCTCGCGCTTGGCCAGGCTGGACGCTGGAAAGCTTGCTGGTTGTAGAGCTTTGGGGTTGGCGCAAGTGGCGGCAGCCCTTATCCGTCGGGCCGACAGGGTCGTGTGACGAGAGGGCTGGCCGACGCTGACCAGCGCAGAGTGGCAGCTGATGACCACGGCGGGACGGACGGTGGCCGGAGTCCCAGCGCTGGGCGTCGATGAAGTGGCTCAAGGTCCAAGACCAGGCCCCCTGTATATGTGAAGTCGGTGGGCGTGGGGCGCAGCGCGGGGTGGGTTCAAAAGCCGTTGCAGTTCGAGGTAGAGTTTGCCTTAGCCACACGCTGTTTTTCCGAGCAAGCGAGGATGGAGGTGGAGATGGTTATGGCGATGGCGATAGTTGTCGAGGATGGCGATGGTGAGCAAGACGAAGGTGAAGGTGATGTCGATGGTGGCGAAAAGGCTCAGCAGTGCCATCGGGGCGCACCATGCTTTTTTTGCGTTGGGCATAGCAACCATGGACTCGATAAAGCCAGGCCCGGGAAGAACTTCCACCTCGACTCCACCGGTCACCAAAAAAGAAACAGAGGGCGACAGCGACAGGCAGGTACGGTACCGCCATGATGCACGCTGTGCCGGGGCGGGGTTTGGTGCCCCGCCGGCCGCGGAAGTCGAGGACCGGCCGGTGACTAGGCTAGGACCCGCTGCGCCCGTCGTCATGCCGCCATGCATCACCACCAGCTGGCAGGCAGGCACAGCCCAGCGCCCCACCAGCCAGCTTCTTGGCAGGGAGAAAAAAGAAAAAAATGGCCGCCACTTTTGGCCGCCAGCGAAATTCAGCCTGAACGCGGCTCAGCCGGGCGCCAAGAGGCGCCCACGCCAGGCGGGCCCAACCGCGTGCCGAGAGGGCGGACCGGCCCGAAATCCTGCACGGCTCAACTCGTCGGGCGACGGACCAAAGCGAGGGTAGGGTGGGCTGGCGTCCGAGTCATGTACGGCCATGCGGCCTCGGACGAGTTGAGCCGGGCACGCTTCCGAATGTACGATAACGAGCGCTTTTTCCCACGGAAGCGGGCCGCGCTGTCACTCAAAAAAGTGCCAGCTCTGGATGGGTACATGTCGGCAGGCAGGGGCGTTTCTGGCGGGGTAGGTTCGTCCCGCGCCTTGACGCCATCCCACGCCTCTCCGCTGCACCGAGTTCGACGTGCGGATGCCTTTGAAGCGCCCTGGCCGAGCACGGGCACATGGTTCTCTCTCGGTCGTAGTCAAGAGCAGTCGCCACAGCCCAACAGGCCGGTGCCGAAGCTTTGCTCAGGTCGCGCCCGACTTCCGAGGAGACGGAGAGGCAGGCAGTAGTCATGGCATCCCGGTGACTTGCGCGGCTTGATCGCCGGCAACAGACCGGAGCTGGTGTGGCATTTCGCTCCTTCTAGCTACTCCCCGCCACGAGGCATCGAGATGCGGTACCAGTACATCGTCTAGCATGGATCACATGGGCGGGGTGGCGTGCCATGCTGTCCCATACACGGTCAGGGCACAGGCCATCCAGAGAAAGGGATGCTGTATAGCGAGCACCAGCAGGGCGGATTCTACCCCGGATACCACCCCGGATTCGGGCGCGCTGTCGCGTGAGCGACCAATATCTCGCTCCTGCCTTGCTTGCTTATCAGCCACCAGCGCCAAGCCTTTGCCGTCCTGCACGAGAATATTCTGGCGAGCCCGTCAGGAGGGCGGAGCGGAGCGGGCTCGGTCTGCAACGACGCCGCTAGACGAAGGTAGGTAGTTACCAGCCCTCGCCTGTGGCGTTCGCAGCAACGACGACGGCCGCGTTCTTCGACGACGACCGCGACTGGAGGCCGAAGGTACAAATACTTACTCGATGGCGGCGGAGACGGAGGACGCCTATCAAACAGATCCTCAGAACTTCCTTCAAACTCGCAGGACCGACGACCCTCACGATGCTGCCTTCCACCGTCCTTTCCGCGCTGCTGCCTCTGGCCGCGACCCTGCTGCCTTCGGCGCTCGCAAAGACCGTCTACACGGGCGATCGAGTCAACGGCCAGGCTGTCATCTCTAGCCTCGACACCAAGGACCTCGACTCTTCGAAGTGAGAACTCAGACGTCGGTCCGTATATGATATGCTGCGATCGAACCCTCGCTTACCCTGCTTCACCGGCTGTTCGTGTAGGGTGCACCGCTTCTACCTCCGCGCCGGCTCGCTCAATTCCGGGCATCCCCTCTATGTGCCAGTTTGGGTTGCCCGCGGTGCCGGCGCCGTAGAGGATGGCAAGACCTTCTGGGTCTCGACCGTCGTCCACGGCGATGAGCTCAACGGCGTGAGGGTGGCGCAGCTGCTCCTGGGCGACCTGGAAAAGGCCGTCGAGAACGGCAGCCTCAACGGCACTGTCATTGGTGTGCCTGGCGTCAACATCCTTGGGTGAGTGTCGAGGCGAGGTGTGGCCGAGTGGTCGTGATATAGGAGACGCGTGCGCGAGGCTGATGGACATGCTTGGGATCTGCCCCGCCCCACAGCATGTCGCGCAACTCGCGCTACGTCCCGAGCTCGTCATCGGGTGGACTGGAAGATCCCAACAGGCTGTTCCCTGGCGTCAACGCCTCTTCGGGCGGATCGTTTGTCGAAGACGTGAGTCCATCGAGGCTTCTCTTGCACCTTGCGGGACTGGCACACTCACTGAGCTCTACGTCCGTGTTCATCTCGCAGTTCATCTACAACGTGTGGTTCGGCCTGACTGCGGTAAGAGTCGACCATCAGTTGGCGATCAGATACCACCTAGGAAAGAAGTTGCTGCTGACCCGGCCTGCAACGCTCTGCTACCGATCTTCACCCGCAGAACGGCACCCAAGTTGATGTTGCGGTCGACATGCACACCCAGAGCACCGGCGGTGACACGCCCATGTGGGGCTATGCCGACTGGAGGGTGCCGGAGATCAAGAAGCTCTCTGAGCTGGCGGCCGTTGATCTCCTCAAGGGTGAGTGGCGCGCTCGCTACGGCGCTCCTGGACGTGTATAAGGGCTGCGAGCTGATCTTTCCCTTGCGTCTGCGCCTCCGATGAACGAACGGCAGTCGACCCGGGTGAGCCTGGAAGCCTGGAGACGACGTTTGTCGAGCACGGTGTGCCTGCCATCACCCTCGAGATCTCCAACGCCAAGGTGTGGCAGAAGAAGTACATCAAGCGATCGCACGAGTTCCTGCTGCGAGCGCTCGACGCCTGGGGCATCCTGCCGCTCGAGGAGGGCTCCGAGGCGCAGACCAACTACGACCCTTCGCGCACTTACAAGTGAGTCGTCGTGGACGCGAGCGGGACGCCGTCGATGAGTCCCCGGACAACATGCTGACGGCTATCGATCGACTTGGTACTTGGGACGCGCAGCGGCGATACTTTTGTCGCTCACCAGACTTCGCAGGCTGGCTGGTGGGACGCCTACGTCCAGCCCGAGGACGACGTCGAGGCGGGCCAGGTGCTCGGCAAGCTCTACAACACGTGGGGCGACGAGCTCGAGACGATCAGGGCCAAGGCGAGCGGCAAGGTCCATACCGTTTCCGGTGAGTGAAAGCTCTGCCCTGACGAAGACACCGGTCGGCGAGTACTGACGTTCCTCGCTCTTTCTTGTGCCGCCGCGTCGTCGAGTCCAGCTGATCCCGCTCGCGAGGCCGGTTCTGAGCTGGTGCGACTGATCCGCAACGGCACCGCGCCAAAGTCGTAGGTAGTCGGTCTACGGGTCTGGCGTTGTGTTCGAGTCCTTCTGCAGACCGCAGCGCAGCTCTTGTACGGACAGAAGTAGAAAGTAACGTGTGTCGGGGCGGCGAAAGGCATGGAAGCAGGACCCTGGTCCTGAAGTGCGGATGTGCGGCAGTCGTTGCGAGGTTCGGGTACAGTGTCCGAAGCATCGGAGGTTGTCGGTCCGTCTCTTTGTCGCGTGGCGAGATGGAACAGAGCCTCAGGTCGCTCCGCCCGGCGCTGCCTGTCGGTGCTCGCGACGGTATGGGACGCTGCGCTCGATAGTGTTCCGCATGCGCCAAGACCGATACTTGCTGATGGGGTCAAGGTGGTGGTCAGGGTCCGACACGTACTGGTCAGAGGAGAGCAGGAGGAGGGCGGGCTGTGAGATGCGAGCCGATCCTGACCGCTGGTACGCGGGTAGGGACGTCGGGGATAAAGCTTCCCTTCGGCCTCTGTGGCAGGCGGCCCGTCGGGTTCCGGCACTCACCCACCGTGCCTTGAGCTCGCGCGGCCTCCTGCCTTTGTCGACCCACACCACCACCACCACCACCACCACCACCACCATCAACCGCCGCCTCTGCACTCTCGTTGTTGTTGAATTCCCTCGACGCCCTGCCAGCACTGCGCTTGCCCGGAGACTCGGTCGATGTTCTCCGCTCTTTGAACCAGGCTTCTCCCGCTCGCGAGCTCTCTGTCCTCCATCATCTGCACATTATCGACACTCACCCTTTCAGCCCTGGCTAGCGGGCGTGTACCTCCATCGACACCTCCGTCATGTCGACACCAGCAGCGGGTCCGCTCGCGGAAAAGGCGGCTACGCCGGCCGGCGCCTCAGCATCGCCTTCGTCTTCGTCGCCGCCGCTGCTGCCGACTGGCCGCCTCGTCACCGCCAGCTTCCAGATCAGCGGCATGACGTGCGGCGCATGCGTCGAGACCATCGAGAGGATGATCCGCAACCAGGCCGGCATCCATTCCATATCGGTCGCCCTCCTCGCAGAGAGGGCCACCGTCACCTTTGATGACGCCACGTGGACCGTCGAAAAGGTCGTCGACGAGATCGAAGACACGGGCTTCGACGCAACCTACATCGAGACGATACGGACAGAGACGCCCGGTGGCGGCCCGGAAAAGGCGCTCTCGGGCACGGGTGAGGAGAACGGCAAGGGCCAGCCTCAGGAGCTGGGGACCGCCCAGCTCAACGTCTTTGGCATGACATGCGCCTCTTGCTCCTCGACCGTCGAGAGGGAGGTCGCAAAGGTGCCCGGCGTCATGTCGGTCAGCGTCTCGCTCTCGACCGAGAAGTGCCGCATCGAGTACGACAAGGCTCTGCTTGGGGTGCGCGACCTCGTGGAGAGTATCGAGGACCTCGGCTTCGACGCCGTCGTCTCCGACGAGCGCGACACGACGCAGCTCGCCTCGCTCGGCAGGATCAAGGAGATCGCAGAGTGGAGATCCGCCTTCCTCTTCTCGCTGTCGATGGCCGTGCCGGTCTTCTGCCTGTCGATGGTGCTGCCAAAGTGGCAGTGGTCTCGGTCGATCCTCTGGTGGCAGCCCATCGCCAATTCCTACCTCCAGGACCTCCTCTGCCTTGGCCTCACGATACCCGTCCAGTTTGGCATCGGTCGCAGGTTCTACCGGACTTCATGGAAGGCCATCAAGCACGGCAGCGCCACCATGGACGTGCTGGTCGTCATCGGCACCACCGCCGCCTTCACCTTTAGCTCGTTTTCGATGCTGGCCGGCCTACTGTGCCGACACGAGGTCGCACCGGCCTCAGCTGTAGCCACCACGCCCGCCGCAGCCACCTCGGCCGTCGCGCATATCGTCCAGCGCGGGATGGACATGGCTATGGGCGCAGCCGGCATCGACGGCAGGTGCACCAAGCCTGCCACCTTCTTCGACACCTCGACGATGCTCATCACGTTTGTGTCCTTCGGGCGCTTCTTGGAGAATGCCGCCAAGGGTAAGACGAGCGAGGCGCTGTCGCGGCTCATTGGCCTCACCCCAACCTCGGCGACCATCTACTCGGACGGTCTCGAGGGCAAGGTGGAGAAGAAGGTGGCCTCGGAGCTCATCCAGCGGGGCGACTACGTCAAGGTCGTGCCCGGAGAAAAGATTGTCGCCGACGGCGTCATTGTCCGCGGCGAGTCGACGGTCGACGAGAGCATGGTGACGGGCGAGGCCGTGCCGATCCACAAGGTCGTCGGCAGCCAGGTCATTGGCGGCACCGTCAACGGCACCGGCACCTTTGACTTTCTCGTGCAGCGCGCCGGCAAGGACACCAGCCTCGCCCAGATTGTCAAGCTGGTCGACGAGGCGCAGACATCCAAGGCGCCCATCCAGGCCTTCGCCGACAAGGTGGCGGGCTACTTTGTGCCCACCGTCGTCGGCCTCGGCGCCCTGACCTTTATCGCCTGGATGGTGATTGCGCACCTCATCTCGGGCCCGGCGCTGCCGTCCATCTTCAACCAGCAGGGCGTCACCAAGTTCATGGTCTGCCTCAAGCTGTGCATCAGCGTCATCGTCGTCGCCTGCCCGTGCGCCCTCGGCCTCTCGACGCCCACCGCCGTCATGGTCGGCACAGGGGTCGGCGCCCAGAACGGCATTCTGATCAAGGGCGGAGGCCCGCTCGAGGCGAGCAGCGGCGTCAGGCGGATGCTGTTTGACAAGACGGGCACGCTGACGAGGGGCAAGCTGTCGGTAAGCGGCGTCTTCTGGACCGACGGCAATGCGCAGGACCCTTCGCCGGTCGCCGCACAGTCGACCAGCGACCTCGACACGGTCGTCATCGGTGGCCTGTCCAAGAGGCAGACGCTGCAGATGGTTGGGGCGGCCGAGTCGCGGAGCGAGCACCCACTGGCTCGAGCCCTGGCCCGGTACGCGCATCGCAGCATCGGTCTGTCCAGCACGGTGCCTGCAAAGCCCTCTGCAGACGCACCTGCCTCGCTCCTCCCCGGCACGCAGCAGCAGGACAGCGTCACGTTCCCCGACGTCAGCATCAGCGACTTCAAGAGCACAACGGGCAAGGGCATTCAGTGCCGCATTGGCCTTCAAGAGACGCTGACCGACCACGTCGTCCGTATCGGCGTCCTCGAGTTCGTCGCCGAGCGGCCCGGGTCGGTGCCGGCGGCCATGCTCGACTACTCGAGGCGAGAGCAGTCGCGCGGCCGCACCGTCGTCTTTGCAAGCATCGACGGCACGCTCGCGCTCGCGCTCAGCCTGAGCGATCGGCTGAAGCCCGAGGCGTTGGCCACGCTCACGGCGTTGCGGCGCATGGGCATCCGGTGCGGCATGGTCACGGGCGATTCGAGGGTCACCGCCCAGGCATTTGGTCGCGAGCTCGAGATGGACGCCGACGACATCTACGCCGAGATGAGCCCGAGCGGCAAGCGCGACCTTATCCTGCAGCTGCGTCAAGAGGCGCAGGGCATCGAGCCGTTGGCAGGCGACCTCGAGGGGCAGGGCGGGCGTACGGGACCGATCCGACTCGCAAATGGCCAAGACGATGGGTCGTGGTTCTCATCCCTCCTCGGCAGCGGCAGCGGAGGCGGTGCGCGAGGCGGGCGCAGCAAGCTCTTCCGCGAGAACCGCGCGCTGATCGCCATGGTGGGCGATGGAATCAACGACTCGCCCGCGCTGGCCTCGGCCGACCTGGGCATCGCGCTGGGGACGGGATCCGACGTGGCCATCGAGGCGGCGTCGATAGTGCTGATGCGCTCCAACCTGCTCGACGTGGCGGCGTCGATCCACCTCTCGCGGCGCATTTTCGCGCAGATCCGCCTCAACTTCCTGTGGGCCACCATGTACAACCTGGTGGGCATACCCCTGGCCATGGGCGTCTTTCTGCCGTGGGGGTACAGTCTACCGCCCATGATGGCCGCGGCGGCCATGGCGTTTTCGAGCGTCAGCGTCGTGCTGAGCAGCCTTACCCTCAAGTTCTGGAGACGTCCGCGCGAACTTGCCGTCGCGTTCGTTGATCAGGATGACAGCGGTGATGAGGAGGAAGAGGAGGAGGAAAGGAGGGCGAGGGAGGCAGGACACGTGGCTGCCGTCGGCGAGGGCGAGGCGGGGGCGTTTGCGCGGGTCGTTTCCAATGTCCAGGATCTGGGCTTCCAGGTCCTCGGTCGTGTCGAGACGTCCTTGGCGTCCCTCGTCGGCTCGCGCCGGTCCAGGACTCGGCTCAATGCTCCCGCTACCGCACCTGGCTCGGCGCAGTACCAGCCCATCGCCTCGGACGACGTGGCTTGACGCTGTCGTTGAGCCACCTACCCGCCCTCCGCCCGCTCCCGGACTTACCTCTTGGAAGACACTTTTTGTACGCTCCAAACTTCGTCCGGCCCCCTCTTTGCCATGGACAACCTGCCGTCGATCGATGGATGAATGTGTACGGGTATAGGTACCGTTGCTACACGGCGATACGACCGTGGTAGCCGGTCTGTGCTAGAGTGCTAAATGGCCTAAGAAGAAACGAAGGAGAGTGCGGTGGGAAAGACGTCAAGTCCTCGGCCGCTCTACGACGAGAAAGGCGGGCACGAGCCGCACGACGTCGCCGTCGTCTTCAAAGATGAGTTGGTAGTTGGCGTTCAACAGTTCCTGCTCTCTCTTGATGAGCTGCGGGAGCGGGCCGAAATGTAGGGTAGATGGTTCGAGTTCGGTCAGGTCAGCATTGCTCACGCGCCAACAGGGCGGGAACCAGCAGGATCGAACGGAAGGAACTGGCAACGGATGCGTACCTTGCTGACTGGCGTCGGACGAAGGATGCCTGGTCCTCCTCCTTGCACGGTGGCGCGGTAGAAGCAAGACGTGTCCGGGTACAGTCCCATCACCTGCGCCCCGACCGGGTAGTCGATGGGAGGCAGCGTCGAGACGCTCTCTGGCAGCGGTACAATGGCCTTGAGCGTCGTGTTCCAGGTCCTGTGCAGGGGTGACGGACGAGCGTCGTCGATCAGTCAGCCTTCGTCAGTCGCCCTTGCAGTCAGATGCAGGCACCAAGGCAGATACCTACGGTCCGAGCGGTCCTTCTTCTTCCGCATCCTGGACGACGTAGCTGCGAGGGTGAAGAGCGCGGCAGGACAAGGTCAGGTCAGCCGCCTCGCCAGACCATCGACAGGAACATTTCGTAGACGCACCGGTTGCGATCGTTGTTGATGCATTCGATGACGGTGGCCATGATCCAGGTCTCGCCGTCCTCCTCGCCCGGCAGCAGACCCGCCGCAGCTGCGGCATCGCCAGCGCCCGCGATTGGCCCTCCTGCTGCCCCAGCACCCGCTGCGCCTGGTGCGGCCTTTTTGACCGGTTGCCTGAAGGCCACCTTGCGACCCTTCTGCAGCGGCAACTGGTGCGCAAGCGCTTCCCTCCTCGCTCGTGCCGGATCCACGCCACCAGCGCTGCTGCTCGCACCGCCGCTACCGCCGCTGCCGGACGGCTGCGATAGCGCGCCGTTGGTGCTCCCTGCGCCTGCAGAGTCCCTGAGGCTGGAGCCGGCCAGGCCGGTGTTAGTCGAGTAGGAGCGACGCGTGGTTCCAAGGGTGCCCTTTGCCTTGCTGGCGCTGCTTCCGTAGCGGTCGTCGGCGAGCTTGGAGCGCGAAACAGGCGTCGATATGCCCGAAGACGAGCTGCCACGCGTCATGGCATGGTCTGCGTGGCGGTCGGGCGGGCGGGCGATGGGAGCGGGTGCAAGAGGAGCCGGATCAGGGGCAGCTCGAAGTTCAGGGGGGCAAGGATCGTACCCGCCGTCGTGCTCACCTCCAGGATCGGTCGAGCTCCTTAGCGCGGTCAATATGCCGAGCTTTTCGAGCGCCGCATCGACAGCTCTATGAGCGAGTTCGGTGAATTGGTGCGGGCGGTCAGCTCATCGTGCATTTGACAAGGTGCGAACGTAAGGCGCCAACCCCGGACGACACCCACGTCTGCTCCTCGATGGTCTTTTGCCTGAGCTCTGTGCAGATATCGTCTAGCCTCCTGCGTTTGGACTTGTACTCGTCGCCGGCGGCGCGCTTTTCGCGGAGGACGATGAGGTCGTTGCGGAGCGTCTCTGCGATGCCGGAGCGGTCCTGGGCTGCGAGTCGGATGCGTTCGATTGTGCGGAGGTGGGTGCGCACTCCGTGCCACAGCTGTACCTCTGCGAGGGTCGAGGGAAGGGCGAAGCGTGGTTGGCACATGTGGAGCGGGGTGAAGAGTAGCAGCGTGGCGGACTGGAGGGGCACTCACCCTCGGAGCCCGACTGGGCCAGGCGGTCCTTTCTCTGCCTAGAGGCCATGGGGACAGGTATGGATATGGATCGAGATGAAGCACAGGATAGGATGATGGGGATTGGGGAAAGCGATGTCAAATGGCAGAGGCCAAGAGGCGGTAGAAGGATGGACGGTGTTGGCTTGATGGTGGTGGTGGGAGGCTGGCCAATGCGTTCCGGGCTGAGCTCGCGCTGCAACGCGTCGTGGAGGCCGACCCGACTAGCGGGGGGGACCCTGGCCTGGCTGGCTGTCGGCGACTCGAGACCAAAACCCCAACTGATCATCTCTCGTCCGAGAAAAAGAATCCGCCTCCACAAAGGCGAGAGACGGCTGACTCGGCGGGTTGGCCGAAGTTCGCAGGTGGATTGGGTCAGGCGGGCCAAGCTGGCAGCCAGCCAGCCAGCCAGGTGCCAGATGGCCCACTCACAAAAAGAAGAAATGACGCTGCCACCCGTTTCCGTCAGAGAGCCGCCCGCCGCCCGAGCCTCGCTGAATGGCCATGGCCGAAATGCCATCCCTCTTGACCACCTGTCATCATCCGTCTTCCCTCGCATCCTCCATCAGCCTCTCCTACGACCTACACATCCTTTGAGCAGGTCGCCTTCCCTTCTGCCTCCGTCACTACCGCTTTGCACCCAACAGACGCCTATTGCCATCACAGCCACCGTCGCCCGTCGCAGCGGATTCTCAACGTTGCCACTCAGACCCCAGCATCAACCGCCTCTCGACCTCGCCGGGCAAGGTGGCAACCACGCTTTCCCGGCCTCTGCCGCCATGTCGGCCTCTTCGCGCCACCATCGCGCCGCCGAGGCGCACCGCTTCGACAGCATCGAGCCCGAGGCCTTCCCCTCGATGGCATCCACCAGCCTCGAACATCCTCGCCGCCACCAGCCCGTAGCGTCCACCTCGTCCGTCACCCTCGACGACCACGATGGCTCTCCAAAGCCACGACCACGGAAACCCGTCACCCGCTCAAAGAAGGCCATCGCCGCGGTAACGGGCGCCGTCACCACCTCGCTCCTCATGACCCCCTTTGACGTCATCAAGACCCGCCTCCAGACACAGTCGGCCCCCGAGCCTCTCTTCGTACCCTCGAGCCACCTGCCCACGACTGCATTCAGCGCACCCCATCCCACTCCCGCCGCATCAGCGTCCGCTTCAGCCTCGACGGCGGCATTATCGCCCTCTTCGGCAGCCGCTCGTGCAGCCACCGCATCGAGGTACGCCGGCATCGGGTCCATGGGGGCGCATCCCGCCACCTGCTGCCAGCAGACCTTCTTCACCGCCAACAGCCAGGAGCAGTCCTTGACATGTCGGTACGATCCGAGGCAGCCCTCCTCGTCGTCCTCGACCGCACACAAGCAGTCCCGCTCGCTCCGTGCGGCGACGAGATCCTCGCTCTCACACTCTGCCAACCACACCTCCTCGTTTTCGGCCTCAGCCACGCCACGCTCCTCGGTCCGCATCCTCCCCTCGCCTCCGCCGGCACCCAACGCCTACACCCATCCGAGCCCATCGGCGACCATCGCCAACGGCGCATCGTCCTGCGCATGCGCGTTCCCGGACCGCAGCGTGGCGGCCAAAGAGCTCGAGGCCGCCGCCGCGCAGCAGGGGCGCCTGACGGGGCTGTGGGACGGCGTCATCAAAGTGGGCCGCACCGAGGGCATCCGCGGGCTCTGGCGAGGGCTGGTGCCGACGGTGGCCATGACGATCCCGTCGCAGGTGACCTACATGACGTGCTACGACTACTTCCGGTCGATCCTGCTGGCCAACGAGGACATTGCCGAGGTGCAGGCGCACTTCGAGGAGCGCTCCCAGTCGCAGTCGAGCGACGGCACCGTCAAGCGGACACCGTCGCTATCGGCCATTACGCCGCACTCGCTCATAGCCTCGCTCGTGGCGGGAGCTACGGCGCGCGGCATCTCGGCCACGCTCGTCACGCCCCTCGAGCTGATCCGGACGCGGCAGCAGTCGGCGCCGCGGTCGAGTTCGTCGCTCACCTCGATCCTCGGCACGCTGGTGCACGAGATGCGCACCTCGCGCGAGGGACCGTTGATCCTGTGGCGCGGCCTGTCGCCGACGCTGTGGAGGGACGTCCCCTTTTCCGCCATCTACTTTGCCGGCTACGAGTCGTGCAAGCGCATCCTCACCGGCGGCGGGTTGGGAGAGGGCAATGCGCAGGGGAGCGGCGAAGAGTTTGGAATCGCCTTCTTCAGCGGCGCACTGAGCGGTAGCGTCGCTGCCGTCGTGACGCATCCTTTCGACCTGGTCAAGACGCGTCTGCAGGCCGACCACGTCGTCGTCCCTGGCGGTCGAGGGGGCGAGGACAAGAGGCTCTCTGCCACGCTGCGCGCACGCGGTGGGGGCGGTGCCAAGCACGTCGGCGTGTTCGGGACCATGAAGCAGATCCTGCACAAGGAAGGTCTACCGGGCCTCTTCCGTGGTCTCAGCCCTCGCACCGCCAAAGTCGCCCCGGCTTGCGGCGTCATGATTGCCAGCTTTGAGGTCGTTGGCCGCTTGCTCAGCGATATCGACTAGGACTGTTCTCTCCGATGCGTTCACGTATGAGCTACGAGCTTGCTTGCTTGCTCGCCTGCAATGCCATGTGGGTGATCGTGATGGGCGATGCCGTCGCCGGCTACCTTTTTGTGTGTGTCATTACGAGATGGGGCCCAGCGGATCAGAGGGGTAGAATCAGGGGCGGGGAAGGAGTCAGGAAAGCTACTACTAGACTACGTTACATGCGGGGGGGAAACGGATCGATGCTGCGACCGAACGGGACGTCTCTTCGAGTGACGAGGAGGTGGCAATCCGATCGCAACGGCTACATGCTCGTGGGGGAGAGACGGGATCGAGATCGAGAAGGGTCGGGATAAGGTAGATCGATCGGGAATGGGACGCTGGCCGGCGCTGGCGTAGAGGGCTGGCGTAAAGGGCGACCTGAGGATTGAGGGTATCGGACCGGGCCAAGGCGGAAACCGCCTTCACCTCGCCTTGAGCGGGCTGTCGTCCACTTCGTAGGCAAGCTGCTTCAACTCGTCGTCGACGTCCCCGTCGTCCATCGACGCCGCCACCGCCAACGACCTCCTGGATCGCTTGTCTTGCGATGGGTAGAGGCGCTTCTGCGCCGGAGTGCCCGCCTGGCTCGTGCCGGCACCGACACCAACACCAGCGACGCCGACCCACTCCCACACTCGCTGGTACTCGCCGCGCCACTTGACCTCGTTGGTGCGCACGTTTGAGTTTTCCTCGACGATGTTGGCCACTTTCTTCCAGAGCCGCTGGCGCGCGCTCCTCGAGTGCTCGGAGCGCAGGACGTGATCGCGCAGGTGCGACGTCGGCATGGCCGACTCTGGGTGGCTGACGGGATCGACCGAGTGCAGGTGGTCCTGCTCCTGCAGCCGTTCCAACGCCACCTGCACCAGCTCGGTCACCTTGCGCTTCTCGTCGCGCATCGCCTTTCGTCGGCGGCTCAGGACAGAGCCGGCGATCAAGGCAGAGGCCAACAGGGCAGCGTAGATCCACGTCCGCTCAATCAAGGCGCGCACCGCAAGGCGCGAACGGCATCCAATCGAGAGGATCGGAGCACGCGCTGCAAGAAGCGGCTCCGCCATCGCCAAAGCTGGATCGCTCGAGTTGCTGGCGATGCGGATGACGTTTCCGTCCGAGTCGACCACATCCTCCATGGCCAGGTCCCACAGCTGCTCGAACAGCTCCTCCGAGACCCTGCCGCGGTCGCGGGAATCGAACATCACCTGACGCACCAGCGGCTCCGGCAGCGCGTAGCGCAGCTCGGGGCGCGAGCCCTTCTTGACGAGTGCTGCGACGCTGGCGTGGGGCCCCTGCTTGCCACACACGACCTCGCCCTTCCACTTGGCCAGCCGAATGTTGATGGACGATGCGAGATCCGCGGCCAGGACCAGCTTGGCGGTGTCGGGCACGCAAGAGGGTCGCACCCAGCCGAGCGGCAAGAGGAGGCCGCTCAGTGGCACATTGTCGAGCCACGCGTGCTCGACGACGTAGTCCGGCGAAATGCAGCCGAGCAGCCTGGTGTCCTTGCAAACGGCGTTGTCGGGGCACGGCGTGCAGGTTGGGCGGAGGAAGTCGGGCACGATCTGGCCAGCCAAGGCCGATTCGTCGTCGTCGTCGTCGTGCTGCTGCCCCTCTGCGAGGGCCGCGCGGGATGCAGCGGCTGCAGCCTGGGCCTCCAGCTCGCGCTGGATCAGCAACGAGTTGGTCGTCGAGCCCGTGTCGCAGTAGCCAATCGTCCTGCTCTCTCGGGTGTACCACAAGGCCCAGAATGCGACGACGCCCACGAGAATCACCCACAGCAGCTGCGAGCTCTTCTGCGACGTCGTCAAGTCCTCATACGCGTAGCGCTTAGAGGTGCGACGCTTGGCGGGCGGCCTGGGCGAGGCAACGGGAGAGGGACTGGTCGGAGCGAGCGGGGGGCTCACGCTGCTCTCTGAGCCCCATTTTGACTCGTCTTCGTGCTTGACCTTTCCGTTGCCGACGGCGAAAGCTGCATCCTGATTCTCGTCTTCCGGACCGAGCGATCGCGAAGGCGAGAAGAGCTCTCTACCCCTCTTGAGCGCGTCGCCGATGATGCGCGGCGGCGTGGCCGCAATGACACTGGGGTCCATGTAGTTCTTGAGCGCCGGTACGGTCGAGCTCCTTGGCACTGCTGCCTTCTTGGACGATGCCTTGCGGATCGGTGCGCGGTCCCTGTCCTCGTCCTTGTCCTTATCCTCGTCGTCTTCGTCATCGTCGGAGCGCATGGCCAGCCTCGAGGACGGCTCGCCCATTGTCTTGCGTCGCGCCCGACGCGCAGCGGCGGCGGCCTTGGCGGCCGGTCCGACCTCGGGCGAGGCTTCGCTGCCGCTCTGGAATGGATTGTAGTCCGAAAAGCCCGACTCGTCCCTGCCTGACCTGTCTTCCGACCTCTTGCTGCCACTTTGCTCCTGGACGTCGAACGAGACTTCTTTCGTTGGCGATTGGCGGCTCGCTGCAACGGTAGCCGGCGCCGACTTCCTCGGCCTGCCTCGTGGCCTCTTGACTGGCGCCTCAGCTACCTGCGCTGGCTGAGCCGCGCTGGTCTCGGGCTCGTTCCTGGAAGCTGCGGTGCTCGTCCGTGCGGCCAGAGAAGGAAGGCCCCTGCGAGGTGCTTTGGCTGGCGAGTCATCGGCGCTCGAGTCGTCGGTGCGCTGAGCTCGCAGATCGATGATGCCGCTGGAGCTTGCGACTACGGTGTTGTTGCGCGACCGCAGCTCGGGAGCCAGGGGCGCAATGTGGCGGTTGAATTCGGCGACGAGGTCGGCCTTTCTCGCCGTGCTGGACGGGTGAACGTCGTGCTGAAAGAGGAGGGAGCGGAGCTGCGCCATCTTGAGCGAGTTCGGGTCGAACCCCTCGGCGAGGTAGTCCGGCATGGAGGACAGGGCGTCGGTCAGGGTCAGTGTGGCGGTGTGGCGGTGTGGGCTGAGCAGAGTGCTATGGTGGTCGAAGGCGAAGGAGGGGGGGAAAGCGTCACGAGGGTGGCGCACGACGGCCTCCTCAGAGGGTGGTCGGCGATGGGGAGCAGATGCTGGCTCGGCAGAGGCGGAAAGAGGAAAGAGAGAGAAGAAAGGAGCCGCGGGTGGGAGAATGATGGTGGTCAAGAGGCAAGCGCCACCGGCAGAAGCGGATGGCTTTCTATAACATCACAGGGGCCGCCTGGGCCAGGCTGGCTTGTGATTTCCCAAACATGCGCAGCCGTGTTGATGTCGTGGACCCTGTCCCCGATCTGATCCAGATGCCACCTGCAAATCGGGGACCCAGAGCTTTCCTCGGATTGCGCGGGACCGAGTGACGGAGAGAGCCGTCGGCGAGGGTTGGATTTTTCCGAGCCAGCGAGACAGGGTTTCGGCAGCGCCGTCATCCAGTCTGGCCTGCTGGCCCGCTAATCAGGCACGTTGGCGCGCAGCCCTCTCCTCTCCCCCTCTCTCCCTGCGTGCGTTGCGCTGCGCCGCCACCCTCTGCCCTGCCTCGATGCGCCGCCTTTGAGCAGCTGCGCCGCCTCTCTTGCCCCTTTCGGGTCGCCCCCTCGTCAGCGCTGTTCGTACCTCTACCACCATCGTACCCCCTCCCCTCGTAGCCCCTCTCGCATCAAGTCGACGACGACCTGCAAACGCAACGCCGCCGCTCATCATGCTCTATTCGACCTCGCCCTCGTCCTCTTCGGCCGCCTCAAGCTCGGGCAGGTCGTCCCCCGAGGCGCAGCCGCACGACGGAGGCTCCGGCAGCGGCCGGTCGGCGACGACGACGGCGTCAAGCTTCCTGCCGCCCTTTTTCATGTCGAGCAAGCAGCCGCTCGCCCCGCAGCTCCAGCAGCCGCTTAGGACACCGTCCTCGCTCGACAGTGCAGCGCCGCCCCCGCGTCGCACAAGTTTCGGCACTGCCCTTGGGCCCGGAGGCAAGCTCTCTGCGCTGAGCGCGCTGGGCTTCTTTCCCACGAGCTCCACGCTCAGCACATCGCCGCCCTCGTCTTCGGCCTCAAGCCTGGTCAAGCCAGAGTTTGGTCCAAGAAGCGCGTCCTCGCCAGCGGCTAAGGGGGCGGCTTCCGAACTTGGATCCGCCGGTTCGTCGTCCTCGCCTCAACCCTCAAAGGCAGCGCCTCCCAGACGCCATATGTGCTTCCCAGACGGTATGGGTGGCACAATGTGCGTCGAGATCCGGGACCGTGACCGGCGAGGATCCTCTTGAACGTCAATCGATGCTCGCTGTTCACGACATCGCTCCCTCGCAGCGGGGGTCCCTTGATGCCTTGGCCCGGCCCTCTCGTACCTGAGGTTAGGCCAGCTTCCCGTTGAAGAGCGTCTCAGACTCTATCAATCGCCTTTGCGACCAGTCTCCGCCCCGACTTTGACCAGCACGACCCTCTCCGAACATCACATCGACCACCGTCGGCCCCTGTCTCGCCATCCTCTCATGCTTCTCGCACGCTTCGCAGTCACCATCAAGCCCCAAGTGTTGACCCACGTCTACCGTCTTGGTATATCCGCGGTCAGCCTCCACCGCGCCGCCCTTCGCCCAGCATCCGATGTACTACCATCCTGATCCGACGTCCGCGTTCCTTGCCGTCGCGCCTCGCCGCGTGTCCGCTCTAGCCTGCCATGCCCTCTTGCCAGTCTCCCGTAGTCTCGGTCCCGTGTAATCCCAAGTCGTCACACTCTTCTCTGCCGCTGCCATGTCGGGAGGCGGATTGGATGTGTTGGACTGCCCGTCTTGGCCCTAGACAGCCGCAAGGTAAGGGGTGACTCGCTGGCACCGCCAGGCCCGGCCAACGTTGTTGACAGCCAAAGTGGAGGCAGCGGGCCCTCGGGCTGTTCATTTTTTTTTGGCTTGGCTTGTGCGCAGCCGCGGGCGCATTTTCTTTCGCCCTGGCCTGGCCGCCTGGCCGCTCGCCGGTGTTGGGCTTGGCTTAGGCCAGGCTGTTGCTTGGTCGACCCTTCGTCTTCTCTCCCACACACCCATACTCGCTGTCTCCTCTCTCTCTCTCTCTCTCTCTCTTTCCGCTCCTCACCTTTGGCCGCTAGCACTGCCACTCACCGCCGCCATCTTCGGCACTTCTGAACTCCTGCTACCCTCAACGCTCCCTCATCACCCTCCGACGACACTCACGCCCGATGCTCTTGTGACGACTCGTCGGCAGCCTTGTCCCCGCCCGGCGCCGGGAGGGACGGCAAAGCTATACCATACCTCCCTTGGCTGGTCGTCATTCGGCACACCACCTCAACGGCCCAAAGCTCAGCACACGGCCCAGAAAAGAAAGCAACACCAACGGCATATTTCGCCGACGTACGACTACCGCTCGGTCAGCGACCGCCCGCGTCGGCAATGGCCAGCTCGTTCAGCAAAGGCCTCCCCGTCAGCTGGGGCTCCGCCTTGGGAAAACGCCCGCGAGACCTCAGCGACGAGTCCGATATCTTTGGACCCGCAGAGGCAGGCAGCTCCCCGTCAGACGACGTCTTCGCACACCTGCCAAAACGACAGCATACCTTGTCCGCGCTGGACCACACTCCCGAGAGGCCGGCCAGCGCCATGCAGCTCAGTGACATCGACATGGGTTCGCCCCTCCAGGCCATGCGGCTCGAGAGCCCGTCGCCCTTGCACGCCGCCTGGGCGGGCTCCGACGAAGCAGCCAGACAGCTCAAGGCGCAGCTGGCAAGCAGTCGAATATACCCAGAGGTGAGCATGGCCCTCCTCTGTTGTCATCCTGACGGCTCTTACAGCCGTTCTGATCGCCGTCCTGGAACGCTGTTCGCCTCTTCCTAAACCCCGTCCAGGCACGATCGGAGAGCAGTGAAGGTTCCGCCGAGCCCTCGATGCTGGTGGGATCAAGGCCGTACGGAACCCGAGTCGACACGCCGCTCGTCAAGAGCATTGCACGACACGCGCCCAGCTCGCCATCGCCGCTCGCCGCGAATCGACCCCTTCAGCTCGGCAGCACGCGGACAAGACAGCGCTCGACGCTCTCGCAGACCTCACTTGACATGATGGAGGAGGAGGTCGGCACGCCCTTGATACCCATGTCGATCGCCGAGTCGCTCGAGTCCTCGCCGCAAGTCAGCGAGTCGGTCACGCCCATGTCGAGCTCCTCATCGCCCTGGCAGTCGAGGGAGGGCTCGCCCATGGCGGCGCGCGCAGCGACCGCATCTTCGGGACAGCGCTCCGGGACCGCTTCGGACGACGGCATGGACCTCGGCAGCCCGCTCAGGACGCCGACCCGCACCAAGACTGCGAGGACGCCGCCGCAGCAGGGCCTGCGCAGGCACCAGCACTCTCCCGGCCTCGATCGCAACGGCACTCCGCCCGGCGGAAAGCAGATGCTGAGGTACACCATGGGCTACCGCGAGGACTGCGAGCTCTGCAGGCTCAAGAGTGAGTCTCGATCTCGGCCGGTCGGACAGAGCGGCTGACTTTCTCGGCGCTGACCAGGGCTTCTATCTTCCTGCTTCCTCGTCGCCGCAGCTCCGGGCCACTATAGCCACGTCGTCCATCGACGTCCCAGCACCAACGCGTAGCCATCACGCTCAAGTCAACGCAAAGCCAAGTCGATCTCCAAGGCAGCCAAGCAAGCATGCCAGCCACCTTCATCCAGCAGGTGTATCACGTTGTCAAGCTCTTTCGGTTCGCCTCATCCCACCGTCACCTGTCTCTCCAGCCCCGCATCCCAACTCGTCGTCCATCGCCCTGCAGCCCCTGATCTTTATCGCGCACAAGCACGCACACCATCCGCACACAGGTTCTGACTGTATCTCACGACCCTCTCGTCCGCTCACCACCGCCGCAGACCCGTCTCGAAATGTCGGTCTGGGAGGTCGCGCATGACATCCAGCAATTTCAGTTTCGTCGTTCCATCTTCGAAACGGGCAGAGAGTGTGGCATACCCTCGCGTGCGGATCGTGGGGTGAGATGTTCGGGCCGAGAGGGGATGTCAAGTCGCCTTTTGCTTGGCCGCCGCCGCCCTTTTCTGGTCGGCGATGGGGGAACCACGAGCGACGCCGAACCACCACAGAGCTCGGAACTGTGCCGACGGACGGTAAAGAGGCAGACGAGGAGGAAAGGCGGTGTCAGCTGCATTGTCCTCGTCTCTCGCCCGACAGTCTCCCGGCAGGGCAGGGCAGGGCGGGGCAGAGGCGGGGGCCAGCGCGTCGACTCACGCAGAAGAGGATAAAGGTGATGATGATGTTGCCAAAGAGCTGCCGGGGGAGTCGCAATGTCGGCGAGCGTCGGGAGAGGTTCGATGGTGTGAGCCAAGATGGAGACGAGGGAACGCAGAGGGAAAGGAGAAAGGGGTCGGGGGGAACGTACGAGGCTGTTCCAGCTGCTGGGCTGGGCGAGGAGGACGAGTTTGTCGTGCCAAGTCGCCTTGGACGAGAGGAGGAGGATGCGGGGCGAGGGAGGTCCATTGGGAAGGAGGTAGAGGGTGAGGAGGATGTGCGACCCTGTTGAAGCGAGCGGCACGAATGGAGAGGGGCGGGAAGGACATCGGAGGTCGTTGAGCTGGTGTTGATCTCGTCTGCGCGTGTTTGGCCAGAGGGTGCAAGAGGAGACTCACAATCGGCGATGCCGAGGACGGCGATGAGGTAGTAGACCATCTTTTCGAGCACGGCGGGCTGGGACGAGAGGTGCTTGCGGAAGGCGTAGAAGAGGAGGAGCGAGTTGAGCATGATCAACGAGTAGCCTTCACCGCGCGGCGATCGCGAAAGACATGGAGAGTGAGATGATCATCAGCTGGCTTGCTCTATCATGAGCCCGAAGGAGAAGAGCAGCAAGGCCAGACCCACAGCTACCGAGCTGGCCGAGCGCCATGCGCGCATTGTCGCTGAGCGTCGTCGCATTCTTGAGCAGGGTTTGCACCTGGGCGGGCAAGAGGAAGGCGTGCGGGATCAACTCGTAGTGGTACCTGTGCGGGTTGGCCAGGGTGAGGGTTAGGATGCATTCGCTTCTGCGCCGCCTGCGAGCGATGTGGGCCCGCGCGATGGCGCCTTCCCTTCACCTGCGCTGCTCACCGTTCGGGCAGGCCGATGGCGTAGTAGGCGCCTGCGAGGACCGAGATGGGCTCGAGGATGCCGAAAAAGAAGTACTGCGCGCGTCGATCCGGTTCCCTCGGGTCAGATTGAAGCTCTTTGCATGGTTCGGCGGGAAGGGGACGAGATACTCACCCAGTGGAATGGGAGTGGATCGCTCATGTTGGGCATGCGAGGGAGGAGGGGGTTGTGGTGGTGGCCAGGGTTGAAGCCTGACGGCCTCGCAGTCACGAGTCCAGGCAAGACGACGCGCTCAGGTGGAGGGAGGCCAGGCCAGGCCAGGCCCAGCTGGCCTGCCAGGCAGCGCCCGCTCAGCTCGTAGGTGCATCCAACACCCACCACCACCACCACCACCATCACCACCGCCACTTGACAACGCTTATCCCCCACCACACACCTACACCGCCACACCTCCGCACCTATACCATGCCAGATCCGAAACTGCAGGCCTACCTGGCCTCGCACTACCTCTCGGGCCCCAAGGCCGACGCCATCCTCGCCCGCACCGAGGGCGGCGACAAGCCCAAAAAGAAGAAGAAGCGTCGCCTCGACCCGGCCAGCGCCTCTGCCTCCGCCTCCACCGGCCTCGTGCTCAAGGACGAAGACGATGCGTGGAAGAATGCGGGCGGTGCTGATGACGACGACGACGATGAGCTCGGCTTCGCGCCGCAGGTCGTCAAGGACAGGGGGTCGTCCGGATTCAAGAAGGCCAGCTGGAACAGCGTCAGGCAGGGCCAAGGTTCGGCCGGCTCCACGCCGCAGCCGACCGACGACGCAGGGCAGGCGTCCACGACGCCACAGCCGCAGGACTCGCCCGCCGAGCCCGTCATCAAGGCAGGGTTGAAGACAAAGGAGCAGATGAAAGCCGAGCGGCTAGCGCGGGAACAGCGGGCAAAGGAGCAAGAGGCAGCAGCAGCAACAGGGTCGTCCTCACGCAGCGTCGAAGCAGCAGAGGCGGCCGTCGATCGACCGGACCAAGAGACCGTCTATCGAGATGCGAGCGGACGACGGATCGACGTCAAGGCCGAGGAAGAGGAGCGGCGGCGGCAGAAGCTGCTCGAGGAGCGCAAGAAGCGGGAGCGCGACGAGTGGGGTAAAGGGCTGACGCAGCGCCGCGAGAGGGAGGAGGAGGCAAGGCGGCTGGCGCAGCTCAGGGACGCGCGGATCGAGCAGCGCGCCGACGACGACGACGTGGTGCGCCACTTTAAGAGCGTCGAGAGGTGGGACGACCCGGCGCTCGCCTTTATGACCAAGAAGCGGAGCGCGGGCCCGCAGAAGCCCAGGTACAAGGGCCCGCCCCCACCCCCCAATCGGTTCGGCATCAGCCCCGGCTACCGCTGGGACGGCGTGGATCGGAGCAACGGCTTCGAAAAGATGCTCTTCCAGAGGAAGAATGCGCTCAGCAGGAGGGATGCAGAGGCTCGAGGTCAGTGCCTTGCCGCCACAACGCACGCACTGATGAGCGCCAGAGCTGACCTGGAACGTTGCGCCCTCTCTCCCCCCTTCTCCCCCTCTCACAGCTTGGGGCCAGGAAGACATGTGAAAGACGCCACGCAGATCCACCGCAAGCAAGCTCCGGCAGCGCGTCCATCCGTTCCGGCGCACGCCAGCACCGCCATCACACCAGAAGATCCTCTTTCCTTGTGGGCAGTCGATTGCAGTACGGATGGTGTTACAGGGTGCGTCTCGCGAGGCCATCGGAACCAGGATGGGCCATCTCGGTCAAACGCTAAAAATACAGGGTCAAGGGACGGTGAGGAGCAGAATGAGCGGCGCGGCACGTCGAGGAGGCCGGCACAGGGTGCGAAGGGACAGTGGGGCAGGGTAGCTGCCGATGCTGGGAACTGCGTGCAATGAGGGGAGATGCTCGGGAGGTCGACGTGCTGCGCGCGCCGCGTCTCAACGGACGAAGCGGTCAGGTGCCGCGAGGTGCAGGTGGTGGCGCAGCGGCGTCCTGGTTCAGGTCCTCTTCGGCGACGCTGAGCGGTATGGATCGACTTGAGCCTAACCGCTGCATTCGGTCGGTACCGCGGCTGCCGGGTCGACTACCGTGGGAGCTGCTCGAGAGCGACGTGCTCGACGAGAGCCGCTCGGGGCTCTGGCCGCTGGCTGCTGCCGCCGTCGCTGCCGCCGCCGCCGCCGCCTTTCCGCAGGATCCCTTCAAGGCAGCCTGCGATCCAGAGATGAGGGTCGCGTCCGACGAGCGCCGTTCTTGCAGCTGGTCAAAGTCGAGGTCGGTGGGAAACTCGGTGTAGAGCCGCTGCAGCCCGGCACTGTCGGCGGTCGGTGTCGGCAGGCGCGGCAACGCCGGCGATATCGCACGCGGTTGCGCCCGTGGCGAGGCGCCGTCGCGACCGACAGCGCCTGACGAGTGGCTGCCTGCGGTGGCGTTGGCGGCGGCCGCTGCGTGTTCCGACGCCGACCGGCCGCCCATGAGGCGCTTGAGGCGGAAGTCGGATGTCCTCGACTTGGCCTTCGACGACCTCGCCTGGCCCAGCTCGGCGGCGTTGAGGCTGCTCTGCGAGTCAAACGAGACCGGCACCGACCCCTCGGCCTCCTGCATCGATGCGAGCGTGTCACCGCGGTAGCCGTACCCGTCGACGGAGACGAACGACGTCGGGTCGCGGTCGCTGCGATGGCTGCGCGACGGGATCCGCCCGATGCTCTCGGGCTGGTAGTTGTTGATGAAGCGATCCTCGCGCCACCGGTGGGAGCGCGAGAGCATCGCCAGGACCGCGCCAAAGGCCTGGACGTAGATGTTGGCCACGAGCACGTAGCCCAGGTCGGTGGGGTCGATGTTGACAATCTTGCAGACGACGAGGCCCAGGCTGTAGAGCGTGGGGAGCACGTAGCCGAACGCGACCGCGTACATGATCTGCTTGAGCCAGGCGAGCGACCAGTGGGCGTTCTCGCGCATGAGGTCCTTGTCGCGGCGACCCATGCAGTGGAACTTCCACAGCAAGAAGCACGAGGCGTAGAAGGTGTCGGCAAACTGGAGCACAAAGATGCAGAGATTGATGGTGTCCGTCCTCCGGCCGCCGTCGGCCCAGCCACTCCTCATGCCGAGGTAGGCGTCCGACGAGAGCTGCAGCGTGAAGCCGATGAGGATGATGCGGGCGAACTTGAGGAGCGTAGGGAAGGCGGCGATGGTCAGCCGCTTCCTGCGGCTGGCGAGTGCGGCAGGGTAGAAGGACATGAGCCTCAGCTGGAGGGCGAGGTGGGTGATCAGGGGCGTCACGTAGAGCATCGAGGTCGACGAGATCCATAGTCGGTAGGTGCTCTGCGTGCTGGCGTCGCCAAACAGCTGGTAGGCCCAAAAGACCTGGCGAGACGGAACAATCGGATCGAAGGGCGAAGCGATGGTCAGGACAGTCCGCCGGCGTGCACACGGTTGGGCGCGTCTAGCCACTCACCGTATTGAGCGTCGAGCCGAGCAAGCCCGCCAACATGGCCAGACCAAGCACCCAGACGACGGGCAACCGGCGCTTCTGCGGGCTCAGGCCGTTCTTGAAGAGCACCGCGCAGAGCAGCACAAAGAGCAGCGTCGCGAACATCGAGTAGAGGATGACGTACGTGACGCCGCTGCGGACGAGCGAGACTGGGACATACTCCTGGAGATCGAGGCCGGTGATGGACCCGGCGACGAGGATCCGGGGCGCGGACCGGTCGAGGAAGACGGTGGCGTTCATCGTTTCATCGACGCGGGGCGCGGGGCCCAATCTGCCAGGGCCTCCCGGGGACCGACCTATGCTGTATGCGCGGGCGCGAGACCCAGGCTAGGGAAGGTCGTGTAGGTCGAGGCTCGATGCAGGCGGCAGCAGCGGCGGCGGCGACGGCGGCGGCGAGGTGAAGGAGCGGTGCAAAGAGAGTAGTGGCGAAAGCGTCGAGACCGACTTGGACTCAGAGGCGCCGCAATAGCTGCTCAGCAGGATGGCGATGTTCGTGCGGGACGGTCGATGTACGGGACTTTGCCATTCGATGGATGGCGTTGCGATGCCAGTGTTCTCTGAAGACTGGAGGAAGTCGAGAGAGCGATGGTGAGGATGCTGGAGCCGGTCAGGGAGACGAGTGGCACCGGACGATGTCGCAAGGGCTTATAGAGCGGGATCCAGCTGCAGGGTGAGATTTCGTGGGGACGAGAAAGAGAGCAGCAAAAGGGCGACGTCGACGGCGATTAAGCGGTGAAGGGGGAGAAAGTAGAGCGAGCGTGCTGCCGCCGGAGAATGGAGAGAAGGCGAGATGGAAACAATCCGCAAGAGACCGTCGTCGAAGGCGTAAAGATCGACGGGTGGGTGAGGCGGCGAGGATTCCCCCTGTCGCTTCGGTGCGGGGGTGGCGCGAGGGTCCGAAAGGGGCAGTTTCGACGCCTGGTTGGTGGGCGAGAGAGGGAGAGAGAAAGAGAGATCAAGATTGAGATGGAGATGGGCGTAGGCTGAGCAAGAGGTTGGGAGGGCGTCGAGTGGGCGCTGTAGCAGGTCAACGGAAAGGCTACCCGTGGGTTTGAGCTGCGCCTTTTGATGGGCCGAGACGAGCGGGCGGTGAGGTTGATGTGTGACAGTCCCAGGACGGCGGCGGCGGCGGCGGCGGCGGCAGCAGCAGCAGCGAGCGGCGGTGTGTTGGCTGATGGCTGCAAGCGAAAATAATGGTGGTTAGTGGCCAAGGTACAGCAGCAAGCTGCAGCAGCGAGGTACCATAGGTTGGCTAGCGTAGCGAGGAGGGGATAAGGGTGAAGGCAGGCCAGGGTGAGGAGCGTCGAGCTGCGAGGAAGGGGGCAACGCAGGCGAGAGCGGCCCATCAGGCGAGCCGGGGCTCAAGCGCGGATCGGGTACTGGAGGCGGCGAGAGAGCGTATGTAGGCCGGCTGGATCAAATTGAGCCAGGCGAGGGCGACCAACGTCCTCGGGAAGGGGGCCAGGCGTTGGGTTGCAGGATCGGCCTGCTGCTGCCCACCCTTTGGCCCACGAAAGAAGCAGCGAGAGTAAGTCGAGCTTGACATCAGAAAGGCAGCTTCGATGGCACCGCAGAAAGCACACGCAGCAGGCGCCGCTCCTCGCACAGCAAGCTCTGTCTCTGGCTCGTCCAGGGGCATGCCCACTCCTCGTCGTCCGCAGCAGACGTCGTGCACGGCGGTAAGTTCGTCCTGGTGGGCCGACCTGTTCTCGATGAATGGAATAACCTCCTCCTCCGTGTTCTTTGTCCGCGCACTCTCTTGCTGGCCGGCTTGTGAGATGCGGCAAGCGTCAGCTCGCCTGGGGCCGTCCAATCCGATAGCGACAAAAGCGGCGAGATGGAACCGCCCCCTCTTTGGTTCTTTTCCTCCTTTGTCTCGTCTTGCCTTGGCCTGCCGAAGCATACTGTAGAAAGGCCCGCCTGCTGGCCGGAAAGGGAGGAGGCGGGGGTCACTTTTCGACGTAAGTTACTCACGCTAACGCATGCTGGTGGACTGGCGCCCCCTTCTATGCCGAGCCGCCAAATGGAAATCCTGCCTCGCTTTGATGATGTGCCCTGCCATGCCCTGGCCGGCCCGTTCCACAGACTCGACTCTCTCTGGAATGGGGTGCCATCAGTTGGGCGCACCAGGGGGCAACGGCAGCCATGCCAGAGCGCGCCGTGAGCCGAGGTCTGGAGTCCACACACAGCCGAATCATCTCGTACGTCTCCTTTCGATGCCGCCTGGCCGGAATTCCCCTGCCTAGACTGATACATCCTCTTCTGTTGCCGTGCCGTAACTCTGCTTGCCCCATCATCCGGCCCTCTATGGAACCTAAGATGTACGTACGTGCACTTATAGGCGGGCAGAGGCGCGACGGCAACCTGCTGCTGGCCCGCAAAGGCTCAGCCGCCCAGAGTACGTAGTCTTTCTATCGGTCCGGCGCTCCCGCGTCGGGAATCGGGATCATCGCTGCAGCTGAACAAAGCTTCTCGTCCCTCGCTCGCCGACATCGCACGGCTTCCCCATCTTGTCAAGGTCCAGGGTCGTAAGCCGGCCATTGTCCGGTGGCAGACTTCTGCGGCGGCAGCATGGGGCCAGGTCGAGGAAAGAGCGCTGCCGGCTCAAGAGCAGACCTGCGCTGCACTCACGCTACTTGCCTAGACTTTGCAGCTTTCTGCTCCGCGCAGCCAATGCCCCGATCCATGAAGCTGCGCCAGCAGCCAAGGCGAGGAAAATGTCTCGCGACTTGGTTGCTTTGCGTATGTGCTTGAGCTTGCACCGAGTCGCCACCTCTCAAGCTACATCCCTCGTCTCGTCTCGATCAGCTTCTCAAGCGGCAGAGACCGGACCGGTCTGGATCGAGCAAGGACGAGTAGGCTACGCGCAATTTGGAAGGAGCAGCGGCGACAAGGCAGCCCCAGCAGGAGCGCCTCGCCAGCCCTCGGACCGAGGCGGTAGTCGACTCCTGCGCGCTGCTGTCGCTCGCCTCTCTGTTGACGAGCTTTAGGCGTCGATATGTGGCGTCGTTTTGCTTGGCGTAGTGCGCCAACGTGCAACAAGAGGGCACCCTTTGCACGTACGACAGAACGCCGGCGACGGGCTGTCGTCTGCCGCAGCCAACAGACCTCTGGCTCCATGGATCTGGCCTGGCCGAGTAGTCTCCGCTGCGAAGGGCGAGTTGAGCCCGTCGAGATCTCGACAACGGCGTCGACCAGGTGTCGGAGTTTTCGGGTGCCTGAGTGCGCGCTAAGGCCGGCCCTCCGTCTGTCCCCTCATGCGGCCGGAAAAATTGTCGGAGACCCCAGCAGCGCAGCCAGGCCGGGCCTGACCTGGCCTGCCTGGCGACTTGCTGCGTCTGTCCGCGCGCACCGGGACTGCGCCGCTGCCTGCCCAGCCTAACCTGCCTCCGCTGCTCACAAGCAAGCTAAGGCCAGAGCTCTCCTAGGGTTGAGCGGTAGGCTAGGCCGCGCTGTCCGCTCCTGTGCCGCCAAGGCTAGGCTAGGGCGCGCCAAAAGGAGCCCCCGCCCGGTATGGCAACGATTGCGGCGTCTAATTGCGAGCTTCCGGTCCCACTTCCCCGCAGGCTCGCCGCCGATTGCCGTCTCGGGCGACAAATCCGGCGCCTGGAACGGGCCCCACGCCTCCACACCCGCTGCTGGCGACCAGCGCGCGCATTGGCCTGCTTGGTGGCAGCTGCTTTGGTCTTGGCCGCTGCTCGATGCCGTCGTTGCTGCTGCTGCCGCCGTCGCCGTCGCTGCCAAGTCTCCTGCCAGCAGCCTCGCCCATCCACTCGCCGACCACGGTGCTCTCCCCTCACCGGCGCTGCACCTACCTTGATGTCTTCGGCTTCCCTCGACCCGCTCGACCTAGGCAGGCCCAGGTCTGGCCGGCGCGCCCCCGCTTCGACCTCGTTTCAGGACAGGCTCGGCCTCGATGCCCGGATCACGAAGCTCAATCTCGCCGCCTTCCTTGCCCACTGCTCGTCTTCGATCCTCTTCCTCGTCTTTCTCAACGCCGCACAGCCCTTTGTGATCCAGCAGCTGGGCCAGGCATGCCACCGCGACGATGCTCCCGCCGACAGCCGCAAGGTCGGCGCGCTCAGCGGCACCCTCATCTTTTCCGACGAGCTCCTCTCGACGTTCCTCGCGCCGCTCTGGGGCGCGGTAGCCGACCTGTTTGGCTTCCACCGCGTCGTGCCCATCGCCTACGTGTTTGTCGCCATCGGCCTGCTCGTCTTCACCGCACCATCGCAGCCATGGCCAGGCTTGCTGCTCGCCAGGCTCGTGTTTGCCGTCGGAGGCAGCGGCGTCACAGCCATGCTCTCGGCGATCCTCACCGCATATTCGCACCGCCAGTCGGAAGGCCCGAACCCGTCCGCCAACGCTCCTCAACAGCCAGCGGATCGGGCCGAGCCGCCGGCCAGCACCGAGCCCGCCCCGCCTCGGTCCGATGCTGCGCTTGATGGCCCTGAGGCTGTGGCTGCCGGACAGCCAAAGCAGAGCCGCAGACGCAGCAGGCACGGACGCCTGGCCGCTCTGGCAGGCGTCTTTACCGGCTTTGGCGCACTCCTGGCCGTCTTTGGCCTCCTTCGCCTTCCTCAGGCGCTCGCAAAGTACTTTGACCAGCAAGAGGGCCGCCACCATCGCGGATCGACCGGCGACGTCGGCATCCGCCGCGCCACGACAGCCACCTTTGTCATCGCCGCGGCATTCGCCTTCATGATCGCAGGCATCATGGCCCTGGGCCTGCGTTCGCCCGAGGACAAGCCGGCCGGCCTCTCGAGGGAGCGAAGGCTCGCCGCACGCGTCCAGGCCGACGCCGACGACTACGGCGCCCTGCAGGACTCGACCATTACCATACTCAGCGATTCGAGGGCGGCACGCAGGACGCGGCTTCGGCAGCGCCAGCAGCGACGCGAGATGACAGGCTGGCTCGCAGTCGCCAAGCGCACCCTCGGGGCGTTTGCTCGCAGCTCGGCGGGCGGCTTCCGTCTCATTGGACCGGTCCGACCTCGAGTAGGCCTCACCACGGAAGGCTACCGGTCGCGAGTCCAGGCGGCGAGCGAGCTGCGGATGGCCTATCTCGGTGGCGCTCTGGCGAGGGCCTGCACCATCGGCACAACAGCCTTTCTGCCCCTCCTCATCGCGCAGCACTACTACACGTCGGGCCTGTGCAACACGCTACCGTCGCCGGACCCTCGCGCGCCTCTCCCGCCCGATGAAATCAAGAAGCTGTGCCGACAGGCTTTCACGGCCACCGCCATCCTCGGAGGCACGATCCAGCTCACGGCGCTGATGCTGTCTCCCATCATCGGCCTCCTGTGCGACTGGCTCACACCGACGGTCACGCTCTCGCTGACCTCGGCGTCTGGCGCAGCCGGCTTCTTGCTGCTCGGTCTGGGCCCAAATGGACTCCGCGGCAACAGCAAGACGGGCGAAGAAGTACCCAACCCGCTGTCCACGCTGTCCATCCTGGCGGCCATGGCAATCGGCTTCGGGCAGATCGGAGCCATCGTTGCCAGCCTGTCGGGATGCGCCCGGGCGCGCTCGCACCTGCTCGATTGCGAAGACGAAGACGAGCGGCGAGCGCTCGCCACGTCAGATGAGCCACCAGAGCAAGATGATCCGCAACAGAACGGTCGGGAACACCCGCGAGAGACGGAACGATTGCTGACCCGGCGCAGTAGAAGGTCTGCGTCTGCAGCGAGGACCGACGGGCCCAAGCCTGCGGCCGGTCCATTAGGATCAGCCGGGTCCATCGCGGGGGCGTACACATGCTGCGGTGAGTGCACCGCCTGCTCTTGCCGTCGTGCTTTCAATGAAACTCGTACTGACGGGTCCGACAATGCTGCCGCACGGCACAGGCTCGATTGCCATCCTCGTCGTCTCCAAACTGGGCGGCGCGCTGTTCGACCTGTTCGCGCCGGGTCCGTTCCTGCTCATTGCTGGCCTGTCGGCTTTCGTGACGCTTCTCGGTCTCTCCACGACATTGCTGGGGATCGTCGCGGACCGACGTCGGCGATGAATCGGCTTGATTCCTGTTCTCCTAGCGCGTCCCTGTCACAGTACCTACCTGTCTACTGGCGGGAGCTGAATCAAGCCGTCCATTCCGTGCTTTGTCGAAACCAAAGATGAGAAGGCCGACCGGTTGCGATCTGATCGTCCAGCCTGGGAGCATCGACATCTCATCTCCCGGGACACCGAACGGTCATCTTCGATCTTCCAGGCCTCGATCAAGAGGCGTGGACGGTGCGGCTGGACGAGTTCATCCGGCTCACCACCCACCCCGCTCGACTCTCGACTCTTGCGCAGCAGCAGTAGTCAGGGGAAGGTAACATTAAGCTCTGTGACACACGGAACCTCAGCGCAGCGCAGAGGAGGATTTGGTCCGAAACAGCTTCTCAGGCTTCCCCACTTGGCTTCGCAACGTGTCTACATACGTGGGTACCGGTAGGTGGATGTCGATGGATGCCGGCCAAGAGGTTCTACCGTGCCGAGCGACCCAGACGACCGGGAGGTTCTGACCGCTAGTCTGTTGCCGGCATCACCCTAGACTTACCTGGAAGGGTGAGAACCGCAAGCTGACTCTCCAGAGTGGCACTGGTACCGGTACCGGTAGGTCAAGTGTCATCCAGGTGCGGATCAGCCACGTCGCGGTCGGCTGGCTTGACATGACAATGGCCAACATACGATGCCCGATCTCCTCGTGGTACGCTAAGTCCAGCACAATATAATGAAGCCTATGAACGAAGAGGTGGAAGCTCGCTCCGGGATCTGCGAAGAAGAGGCCGGGGGGAAGGAGAGTCGGGTCGCTGCTCGTCGGCGTCTTATCTGCTGCTTCCCACCGGACGACAGAACAATTCCATGAGTCATGCCAAGTCAACCTGGCGTTGCCCAGCTTGTGGCAGGGCCTGCCAGCGGTCGACCGGGCGACCACATGGTGGAACGGCAGGCAGGATACAGGACCTATGCGTGGCAATGGAGGACAGTCGGAACGGATGACTGACCGGTTGGATGGATGCGGCGTCCCGTCGTCTTAGCTTCTACACGTACACATGCGCACACAGCTCTCTCGTTCTTCGCACGCACTGCACAGAGACACCAGGATCGGTCGGTGCGGGCCTGCCTGCCGTGCATGCCCCGGGAGTCACATGCTCTCGATCTCCCTCAAAAGTTCACCCTTCCGTCGTATCGTGTCGTGCCGAGCAGCCGCGAGCAAGCAAACGGCGTCTTCTCGACGGCAGTGCGCCACATCGTCTTTTCGACCGAAGCCGGAAGACACCGTGGACCACTTCTAGCGCATCCACGCTGGCTGGCTCACGTTCGATGCCGTTGTATCGAGGCCGGCACAGAGGGACGTGGAACGATATGGTACGGTGGCGATTGCCGATTTGACAGGACAATCGCAGTTGACATGCGCTGATCTGTCGAGGACATCGTTGTATCGCTGTCGCTGCCGCTGCCACATCATGAGAAGAACCTGACTGAGGCCGAGGCTGCCTGTCATCCGCCGGCGGGGGTGACTTGAAAGATGTGTCGCACGGCATCGGAGCCGGCGTCGGTGGGCCACAAGCCCATCGCCCGGGCGGGTGAGGTTGACGCCGTGTCGTACCTCTAGGCCTTTCGTGCGAGCCCGATAGGTTCAATCGGACGGTCCCCGCTTGGCTGCGCCGCCACAACTCCGCCCAGGCGCTGCATCGGCGGTTGTGGTTTTGCCGGCACGCACCGGATTCTCGGGACCCGCGCGAGATGGGCTGGTCAGGGTCTGCTGCGCGCCCGGCCGCTGCGCCGAGAACGTCTGGCGCCGCACGGGTCCGGCGCCACGCACGTACGGCCGATCCCGGACTTCTGCGGTTTTCTATTTTGCGCTTCGCACCCGCCACCCGCCACCGGCGCTGCCGGCGCTGTCGGCCGCCTCTCGTCCGCTCCTTGGCGGCAGGACTGAGCAGGCACGTAGTGTACGGTGACTTCACCAGCGGGCCGAGCTCGTTCGACAGGCAGGAGGTCAGGCCAAGGCATGCCGAGGCAATCCGCTGAGTAACCTTGATTGGCGTGTCGCCCAACGTTTTTGTTCTGTCGCACGCCGGCATCTTTCTCGCTTGCGAAGGCCACCGAGCGTCGACCTGCTTTGCTTGCTTTGCTGGCTTCGACGGCGCGAGGTGGCTTGGCCCATGAGGGTGGCGTGCAGGAGAGTTTTTCTCCTAGCCTTTCCGCCTCCTCGTGCTTGCTCGACGTTGTGGTCGGCCGGGAATTCGACGATGCGTATGCTGCCCTCGACACACCCGTGTGAAAGCTAGGCCAGCCAAATACCTGGTACCGGTAGAGAGAGTACAGGGTTGGGTGGCGGTGACATCTCTCTGATCTACGCCGGCCGACGCTTCTGACCACGTTGAGGGGTCAGGCTGGCCTTGCGACCCACGTAGCCGCGCTCGTAGGCAAACTGCCGCGTCTGCCGCTCGCTCGGAGACAGCGTACGCCTGCAGCCAGTCTCCTGACCACTTGGCGGTAGGTGTCCCACGGAACGGCGGGCAGAAACAGCAACTACTCTCCGGTACGTACTCTGTGAATTGCTCGTGCACGATACCGAAGGGATAGGTGGCCCGCCGTGACCCGTGCCGGTTACCCTGGTCGGAGAGGCAAAAAAAAAAGAGGGCGCAGCTTTGGCCCGTCGCTCCTTGCAGCCGCGAGCAACGCGCGCACAGCCTGGCGCAGACACACGGAGGCAAAGCATGAGCCGTCGAGGGCAAGCTACGTGGAGCTTGCCCGCCGTGCTTGTCTGCCTGCCTGCCTGCCTGCCTGCTTGCGACGACATCATGCCGAGGGCTCCCGAGCCGCTCTATTGCTTCGCGATGAAGTCACAAAAGCGCGGATGGGTCCCTAGCACGGCAGTGTCTCTTCCATGGTACCGAAAGGCTACGAGAAAGCCAGCGAGGCCTCCTGACGCCACAGTGAAGAAATGAAACAAGAATCATGGCGGTGGGGCAGAGTCCCGCAGCCAGCGCGCCGTCCGAAGTCAGTGTCTGACTTCTCTCCCTGGCCCGAGGAGCGTGCGTGTCACGGCCGCTGCTGCCGCTAACCACGCTGAGTCCCGGCGGAGTTAAGCGTTGCGGGCTGACTGCGCAGCGAGGAGGCGAGCTGGGGAGTCGCGCGCGAGCGGCGGTTGCACCTTGCCAGCCAGGCCTGCCAGGCGTTTTTGGATGTGACGACGAGCTGAGGAGGGACCTCGCATGCATATGGGAAGCTGCTTGGGAAACTCTTCTGGACGGCGCGCGGATTGCCCTCTAAGCTCGAGGCTGCCGGAATGGCCCTGGCTTGCTACCGGCAAGTTACCGGTACCCAGAGAGTACCGCAGTAGGTGCCCATTCTCGGGTTTGGCCCTCCGCCTCGCTTGGCAGCCGGGATGCGAAAAGAAAGAGGCAAGAAAAAACACACGGACGCAGCGGCCGAGAGTCGAGCGTGGGCGCGACGAAGTAGGGCCACAACAGAGACCGGGGCTGCATTTGGCTTGGGGCTGGCGAGGACCCTCGAATTTGCACACACTGGCCAGGTGGCTCTTTGGCCGCAAAGGGAGCGAAGACCTACCTGTACGACGTTGTACGCGCGGCAGAGTAGCCCGGGCAAAAGGGTGGCAGACCCTGCCTTTGCACATCCGGCACTGGGGCAGAGAGGACAGGCAGGGTAGCGTGAAGTGCCTGGCGTGGCAACGCCACCCTAGCCTACCGGCCTGGCCTGCCCGCCATCCACCGGCACCCTGGGGTCAACCCACCGTCCGGCTGCGGGTGCCGCCACTCTGTGGGCGAACCGTCCGTCCGTCTTGGCTCCGCTTGCCTCCGCCCCGCGCCCTTCGCCCCGCGCCTCGGCCGCACCCCTCGGTATACATACCTCCCGTCGCTACTTAGTGTGCGACGCTTTGAGTCAGCCTTGCACGCATCCTTCCCTTCACCCCCGCCAGCCTCTGTCCCACCATTTCATCAAACCCATCGACGCTATCGACGTCACGTAGCAGCTTCTTTCCCTACTCATCCAAAGGATCCCACTCAATCCGACCGACCCCCTTGCCCCATCCCCCCCACCGACGGCAGCGTCTCCCAGAGGGCCGCTCTTAACCCCTCGTCTCTCCGTCAAACAAAGGACTCCATTCAGTCCGCCTCCTTCCACGTCGACTGCCCAGCCAGCCACCACCCTCTTCCCCGCAGCTCCACTCAGTTTCTCGGACACTTCCTGCTTGCCATTCACCTAACCGCCGCCGCCGCATCGATCCCTGCTCTCCATCGACGTCACGCTACGCCACCCGCGATAACCCATCGACGGCCAAGCACCGCCACCTCACCGCTGTGTACGCTCGCATCTTCCCTACCACCGCCATGGACTCCACCACCTTGCAATCGTCCTGGAACGGCTTCAACGCCTTTGACCCCGACCTCGACAGGGCCATCTCCTCGCTGCTGCAGGACAGCAATGAGCCTACTCCCTCCAACGCGCTCCCATCCTGGTGCACCTCGGCCCCATTTTCAGACCAGCTCGACGGGCTGCCCTACCACAACGGCGTCAACGGCGATGCTGCCTTCGACAGCACCCAGCAGGGTACCAACAAGGCGCCCTTCGTCTGGTCCAACAACCCCGACAGCGGCATGGCCAGTTACCTCACCTCTCAGATCTTCGGTTCAGGCCCCGGCATGGCCACACCGACAAACGCCGAGAGCCTAAAGGGAGACATGGGCGCCCTGCTGGGTCAGCAGTCCCCTCCAGACGCCTCGGCCGGGAACAAGGCGGTCCCCATCGAAGAGATCATGGACCTCGACGACTTTGCCAAGGATGTCGCGGCGACGCCACATCTCAGTCCGACCAGCATGGCGTCCATGTCTCCGCTCGACGCCAACTTTGACCCTCGGTCCTTTGGCGACAAGCGCGACCCCTTGACGCAGTACCACAGCAGCGTCGCCGCTGGTCACGCCCGGCACTTGTCCGAGCTTGTCGATCCCGGTCACCTCCTCGGCTCCGGCCACCGCAACGCCAAGACGCTGGCCAGCAGCCTCAGCCACGCCGTCCTCCCACTCGCATCCCGTCCGCGGCAAAATACCGTGTCTGGCATGACGCTCCAGCAGCGCAGGCGGATGAGCCTCTTGGCACAACGCTCGGTAGCCGACACGACGACGGCGCGGAAGCGACAGATGAGTGCCCCCGGCTCCTGCTTGCAAGGCATCATCACCTCGCCCGAGTTCGAGAAGGTCAAGCTGCAGCAGGGTCCGCTGCCAAGCGCCGTCGCCGCGTCCGTGGCCGACCCACACCCCGAGCCCACGATCCCCGCCACCCTCGATGTGCAAGACAGCTGGGAAGACGTGGTCCTGACCAACTCGCACGACCTCGTCTTTGTGCTGTCGCTCAAGGGCACCGTCCTGTACATTTCTCCGTCGGTCGAGCGCATCCTCGGCTTCCTCCAAGAGGAGATTATCGGCCGGGCCCTGATTGATTTCTGCCACCCGGCAGACATCGGGCCCTTCTCACGAGAGCTCAAGGAGTCCACCACCGTTCCGGCCGGTGAAGAGGACAGCGGCAGCGAGGGCGCCCCGCCCAAGGCCAGCCCAAAGGTCAACCTCATCATGCGGATGAACGTCAAGGGTGGCGGCTACAACCTCATCGAGGCGACCGGGAGTCTGTCGGTCGACCCGCCCAAGCATCGCAAGGTGGTCGTGTGCTCCGGACGACCGCATCCAATCCCCATGCTCCCCTGGGAGCACGTTCGCGTCGACCTGCTAGACCCTCGCCCCTCGGCCTGGCTCAAGCTCAGCCACAACGGCATCTTCCTCGGCTGCACTGGCCCAGTCAGCAGGGTCCTCGGCGTCGAGGACGTCAATTTGGTCGGCCGCCACATCCGTGATCTCCCGATGGTGGCGAGCTCCACCGAGCTGCTCGAAGCCCTGCGCTGTGGTCGCACCATCTCGGTCCAGGACTGGATCGAAGGCGCTCAGGAGCAGCGGTCTGCAGTCAAGCTGACCGTCTACCCGTGGACCTCGAACGGACGCTCCAACAATGTCGCCTTTGTCCACGTGCAGCAAAGAGATGCCGCGGACGCGAGTGTCAGCCAGGTCCCCTCGAAGCGCAAGGCGTCGCCGTCCTCGAACGAGGTAGACAACTCGTGCCTCGACAACGACAACGGCGCCGGCGGGCTGACCGGCAGCTTCGCCACGGTCGGCGGCGGCACCACACGCTTCATGTCGCAGGGCGACGCGGCATCGACCGTCTTCTCCGAGCTCACCGGCTACCACAATGGCTCGTGGCTCGTGGAGATGCAGAAGCTGCAGAACGCCAACAAGCGCCTGCGCAACGAGCTCCAGGCGCTCAACAAGCGATCCGCCCACCGCAGCTCCCTCGGTGCGCGCATCAATGCCTGACGCCATCGCCAGGTTGTACCCCACCCCAGGGTCTGATGCTATCCCGTCACGCATCAACCACCCTCCTCCACTACCATCTCAAACGCGCGTCGTGCCTTGACGGACACTTATTCACCTTGGGTTCTCTCGTCGATCATCTTACCCGCTCCTTTCTCCCATGTAGCATCATTCCCTTCTCTCTGTTTGCCGCGCGGTCGGACTCGGATCCCTCTCTCTCCCAAAAGTGGGTCGACGCATACCCGTCGCCCCTCGTTACCCTCGTCATCGCTTTTTGTACTTGTACCCGTATCTGGCCCATCTCTACCCACTTGGTCTCAACTCGATATACCTTTTGCCTCCATCCTCTCTCCGCGTGCTGGCCTCGAGCGTTTCTCCCGGATATCCGTTCACGACGCGCACGCGCAGGGACGGGGCGGCCTGCCTTCACGAGCAGGGCCAAGGAAAGGAAAAACGCTACCGGACACGTCGCTGCGCCACGTCGTTGCCGACTTCGCGCGGAGCAACACACGAGACGAAGACAAGACACACCACAAGGCAGCGGATGGGGGTTGACTTTGCTACGCAGATCTGTATTGCTGTGTGTGTGGATGCTGTCCGGTTTGTTCCGCCAGGGAAGTAGAGTAGAAGAAGGGAAAGAAGGAAAAAAAGGATTGTGTAGATGGTCCCGTTGCAGGACCGAGAACAGAATCGCAGGGAGCGGAGAAAAGGGAGGGTCGGCAAACCTGTCGAGGTTTTATGAGTTGGTCTATCTAGAATCGATCCAGGAACGTCCATTGCAACGAATGTGGGGATCCTTCGGAGGAGGAACATCAGTCTCGGGAATCAGTCTAGTGGTGCTTGTGCGCGGCGACAAACTCCTTCATGGCGTCGCCGGCAAACTTGTTGGCGGCGTTGAGGAGCGGTGCAAAGTCGGTGGAGCGCTTGGCGTGCTTGGCGCCGCTGCCGTGCTGGTTGGCGAAAGACTGGAAGACCTGGGAGGCGTACTGGGCCGAGGCCTGGACGAGCGGCTTGTAGTCGAGCGTGGGCATGTCGCGGCGCTGCGCCGACGAACCCTCCTTGGCGGCGGCGGCGGCGTAGCCCGAGTCGACCAGGTCGCGGAACGCATCCCAGACGGGCGAAAAGTCGGGTCCCTCGTCGGTGCTGCGCTTGTGCGACGCCGCGGAAGCCGTCTTGGAGCCGAACTGCTGGTTGCCAATGTCGCGCAGCGCCTCCCACACCGGCTTGAAGTCGGCACGGCGGGCGAGGTACTCGCTCTGGCTCTCGCCGTCGCGGCGGGACAGGACGCCGTTGAGCAGGTTGTTGGCCACTGCTACGTTGAGGCCGCCATCGTTGCCCGTGGCCGCGCTGTTGCCAGAACCCTCGGCGCTTTGGAAGCCGGGCAGGTTGGGAGTGTAGCCCGTACCGGCGCGACGCGAAAAGACGCCGTTGAGCACGTTGTCAAGCGCGGCAACGTTGAGGCCGCCGTCGTTTCCGTCGGCGGCCGAGTTGAACGAGCCCTCGGCGCTGCCGCCACCGCCTCCTCGGCGGGAAAAGACGCCGTTGAGGAGGTTGTCGACGGCAGCAACGTTCAGGCCGCCATCGTTGCCACTAGCGGCCGAGTTGAAGGATCCTTCGGCATCAGTGGATCCGCCTCCGCGGCGAGACAGGAGGCCGTTGAGCAGATTGTTGAGCACGGCAATGTTGAGGCCGCCGTCGTTGCCGCTGGCGGCGCTATTGCCGGAGCCCTCGGCGTCGAGGCCTCGGCGCGAGAACCTGCCGCCCAGCAGGCCGTTGAGGATGTTGTTGAGCAGGCTGACGTTGAGGCCACCAGAGTTGTTGCTGGCGCTGCAGTTGCCGCTGCCGTCGTTGCCATCGTCGTCGGTGGCAGCGGGCGTGGCGGCCTGCCTCTTCTCGTGCTCGGAGATATACATCCGCCTGACGTGCTCCTGGCTGACGCCGGAGAGGTCACGGCGACCGAAGCTTTTGAACAGGCCGTTGAGGAGGTCATCGAGCAGGCTCACGTTGAGACCCCCGCTGTTGCCGCTCGCGGTACAGTTGTCGCTGCCATCGCCGGTGGTGTTGGCGCGCTTGACCTTGGCCATGCCGAGGTCGAGTCCATCGGCCTTGAACAGGGAACGGGCCTGGACCTGGCTAAGCCTGGCCGCTTTGCGAGCGGCATCGGAGGCGTCGTTGCCCGTGGCGTAGGCAGCGCTAGCGCCAGAGGTGTCGGCGCTGGAATCGGCGGACGACGTGTCCGAGCCCGAGTTGTAGGCGTCGATGATGCGGCTCAGCACGCTGTCCGACGAGGCGGGGGCCGAGGACGACGCGTCGCCCGACGTCGAGTTGGCCGCCGAGGACGAATCGGAGAAGCTGGCGATGAAGGCGGGCAGCTGCGTCATCAGCATCTGCACCATGGGCATGATGGCAGAGAGGATGTCGGCATCGCGTTCGCCGAGCGCCTGCATGCTGCTTCGGCGCAGGAGGAGATCGCGCCTCCCGTAGCCGGGGCAGCCGGGGCGGTACTGGCCGTCGTTGGGAGTGGGGGGAGGGCAGAACGAAGGCGGGAACGGAGGGCGGGCGGGAGGACCGGGGGGCTTGGGGTGGTTGTCGCGCGACTCGGGGAGGAGCGTGTTGAGGAGCGTGTCGAGCACCTCGCGGAGGGCATTGAGCAGGCCCAACACGCCCTCCTGCTGACGCTTGGCGAGGTCGCGCTTGTCCTTGGAGGCGTGCTTGGACGAAGAGGCCTTCTCGTCGTCGGGGTGCCTCAGATCGTCGACAATCTTGGTGATGCTGGATCCGTTACGGATCTCGGAGCCAATCTTGTGCATCGTCTTGACAAAGGCGGTGGGCTCCTTGACAGTCGAGACGGCCGAGGTGGCGTTGGCCAGCGTCGAGTTGGACAGCAGGCTCTCGGTCGAGTTGGCCGCGGCGCTCGAAGTCGAGTTGGCGCTGTGTGAGGCGGCGCCGGTCAGGTTGGCGCAGGTGGGGTCCTCGTTGCCAAAGAGCGAATCGAGGATGCAGGTGATCTGCTGGATGGCCTGGTCGACTGCAGCGGTGTCGGGGACCTGGCGCTTGAGGAAAGGCTTGGCGGTGCCGAGCAGGGTCATGATCAGGTTGCTGAGCGCCTTGATCAGCTCGTCGAGGAGGCCTCGCCTGTGGAGGTCGTGGACGAGGGCCTGCTCGCGCTTGGCGTGGTCGAGGTGGGCATAGTGATCGTCGATCTTCCTCCGAAGGTTGGAGATCTTGGCGATGCCCCGGGCAACCACCGGAGCGCTGCTGGTGGAGGGGGCAAAGCCTCGAGCGGCGATGTCGGTGACTGGGACGGTGCCGGCGACGGCTCGGCTGGCGAGGTCGCGGACGTCGGAGCGGCGAGAGGCGGGAGCCGCGTTGACGGCGACGGCCGAGATGGCGAGGGTGAGGGAGAGGGCCTGGTGGATCTGCATCGTGGTGGCTCGAGGTGGGTTTGGCGAGGGGCAGTGAGCTAGAGGGCCGAGGTAGAACGGATGTCTAGTGACTTGCGCGGTGAGGTTGGGTTTGCCTGAAACACCAAGAGAATGAGGACGGAGAGCAGAGTGGCCTTTCCAGAACGTTCACGAGCGACAGCTGAAGCGGGTGACTGATGAGAGTGCGAGGAGTCGAGACGTAGATAGACCGTGAGTGACCGCCAGGGTACTCGAGATTTGCCAGAAAGGGTTGGTGAAGGTGAAAGGTGAAAGGAGAACGGAAGGAACAAGACGAGGACAGACAGCAGAGCAGCAGAGGTAGCAAAGGAAGAGGACTTGGGGGAAAGAAGAAGAGAAGGGAGGCCATGTTGGGCGGCCAGGACGGCGAGCGTCTTATACCCTCCTCGTCGGCTGGCCGAGGCTGGAAAGGTGCGCGCTGAAGTGCTGCTTTCCGGGGCGGGCAAAGCGTGTTCCCCTGCCAGTCCTTCGATCTGCGGCAATCAGGAACCGAATTGGACGAGGCGAGCAGGAATCGTAGATGGGTCGACCAACCCTGCCCTTGCGAGTCTGCCTTGTGCGATGTCACCGGTATGCTGCTCTGCGCGGAGCCATGTCGGGCGAATGACGAGCTGCTGCACGGTCGCGATGGGGGATCTTGGTGCGCGTCCCGGCGTCTGTGGTGCGGACAAGAGGCCGACGGCGATGCCCTGATGGCCTTCGCATTCAGATAGAAGTTGGAGTGGCTGACTCATGTGCCAAGCGCTGAACGCTGGCCGAGGTTCTAGGACGGCGTCCGTAGGGCATCGGAGAGCCACTTGTCGGAGAGCGAGCGAGGATCCGTGTGGTGGCGATGAGGGCGCGATGCCAGGTGGAAGTTGAGGTGGACCAGGTGGGCTCCTAACGAGCTGCCTGCGAGACATGTCAGCCGGTGTCTCGAACGGGCAGTCGGCGGAGAGCGCCGCCAAGCATCGTTATGCAGGTTGTATGTCCAGGCAGCAAAGCGATATGACACGATGAGAGAGGCAAGAGGGAAAGAAGTGGCAGGCGACGGTGATGCGCGCGGCGGATGTCGGGTCGATGGCCATCGGTGAGATGCGGGCTGCAGGTGTCGAGCAGTGCGGCGTGCCCAGACGTCTCACCCGGCTTTGGATGCAACAAACAGAAAGCGAGGGTGCTTGCCCTCCGGCTGCCGATGTCTGCACGACGTCGATGGCGGGAGGTAGGTCGATGCTGAGTCCCTTTTGCACCGTGAAGTGAGGTGGCGCGCGGGTTGGTTGGTCGGTCGGGGGGTTCACTGAGCAGCCGTTAGCGCACAGAGCCTCAGCCGCGCCGCTCCGTCGCCTTTGTGGTTGCCCGATTTCCGCTCTGATTTTCTGGAGGCTTTTTTGGGCTTTTTGCCCTCTCCTCTGCTCCTCTTTAATTTGAGCCCTGTGCGTAACCTCCACAACCAAGGTGGCAGCTGACGGCTCGGTGCGCCCTTTTTGCGCGCACAGAAGGGTTGGCCCTCTGTTGGGCGGCCTCTTCTCGCATCCCTCTCCAACTACCCTCGCCCTTCCTCCCCTTCCTGCTCGCACTCGAGGTGCTTGCCCGGCCTCGACATCGCGCAGTCTCTTCTGGAAGCAGCAGCCGCCACAACCATTGTCGCCAGCATGATCAGCTCCGTGGCTGCTCGGAGCGCGACCCACCGGCTGGCCCAGCCTCGACTCGTCGGCCAGCCCTTCCGCCTCGCGCCGCCATCCCACGCCGCTCAAACCTGCCAGAAGCGGCACCATCACAACCAACAGCTCGCCAGGACGGCTCGCTTGGCAGCATGCCATTTGCCTGCATGGCTAGTTTCCTCGTCCAATCGGCCATCAAACCTCCACCGCACTGGCCCGCCCCTGGCCAGTGGCTTCTCCACCACGTCGCCGCCGAGAAGCTCTCAAGACCAGGCCCCATTGAAACCATACTACGTGACCACGCCCATCTTCTACGTCAATGCGGACCCGCACATCGGCCACCTCCACTCCTGCCTCGTGGCAGACGTCCTGGCGCGCTGGCACAACCTTCGCAGGGCTGGTTACTCCCAGTTGGACCACCAGGGCCTGCCTCTCCCGGAATCAAGCATCGAGTCGCGGATAGCCGCTGCTCCGCCCGGGCGATCCGTACTGAGCACGGGCACCGACGAGCATGGCCTCAAGATCCAAAAAGTGGCCGAGGCGCTCGGTCAGGATCCCAAGCAGGTCTGCGACCGGGTCAGCGGCCGCTTCAAGGAACTGGCAGACGCCGGCAACGTCGACTACCACCGCTTCATCCGCACCACGGAGCCCTCACACGTCGACGCCGTGAGCCACCTCTGGAGACTGCTGAAGAGCAAGGACCTCATCTACAAGGGGTCGCACGAGGGCTGGTACGCCGTATCGGACGAAGCCTTCTACCCTGATACGCAGGTCCGCGAGGTGGTCGACGAAAAGACGGGAGAGCGACACATGGAGTCCATCGAGACCGGCGCAAGGGTCGAGTGGAGCTCAGAGGAGAACTACAAGTTCCGCTTGTCGGCCTTCCAGGACGATCTCGTCAGGTGGCTCGAGACAGACCCAAACGGTGAGGATCGCTCAGAGCCACGATGCACCGCCGTGGACGTGGACCGGGCGGGGCTGACCAGCCGAGTGCCTTCTTCCTCTTCCACCAGCGATCCAACCCGCTCGGCGCCACAGCGAAGTCCTCAACGAGATCAGAACGGGCCTCACCGACCTGTCCATTTCCCGACCGAGCTCCCGCCTGAGCTGGGGCATCCCCGTCCCAGGTGATCCGGAACACTCCATCTACGTCTGGGTCGACGCGTTGACCAACTACCTCACCGTCACGGGCTATCCGTGGTCAGAGCCGCCCAGCGACGAACGGCCATCGTGCCCGCGCGCTTGGCCTGCCGACGTCCACGTCGTGGGCAAGGACATTATCCGCTTCCACGCCATCTACTGGCCCGCCTTCCTCCTCGGCGCCGGCCTCCCCCTGCCCAAGACGATTCTGGCCCACTCGCACTGGACGATGAACAAGTCCAAGATGTCCAAGTCGAGAGGCAACGTGGCCAACCCGTTCGATGCCATCAAGCTGTTTGGCCTGGACGCCATCCGCTTCTTCCTGATGCGCGTCGGCGGAAACTTTGCCACCGATTCTGGTAAGTGCAGATGGTCGCGTCGCTGCATTCCACCAGCTCGAGTCGTCGATTCCAACCCACCGAGATCTGATCCTTCGCCCGGTCCACCACCCCTAGACTACTCGCCGGCGGTGCTTCTCGAGTTCCACCGCAAATACCTCCAGGGTCAGCTGGGAAACCTAGCCTCTCGCATCAGCGCGCCAAAGATCCACGCAAGACTCGCACGTTTCACCAAGGCGGGATCCTCTGAGGTTGAGCGGCTACCAGAAGACCAAGTTTCTGCTCTGCTGGACCAAGAGACGCGGACGATGGTCCAGGCGCTCGAACAGGCCCTGACCGAGCTGCCTTCCAAGGTCGACGACATGATGGCGCGATTCGAGTTTTCAAAAGCGCTCGAGGCCATCCTCGAGGGCACCATCGGGCAGACTAATGAGCTGCTGCAGCGCATGGAGCCTTGGTCGGCCAGCGTGCCGGAGGAGGTGGTGCTGGAGGCGGTGGTGCTCGTGTCGGAGAGCCTGCGCATCTGCGGTACGCTGCTGCGGCCGTTTATGCCGAACAAGATGGACGAGCTGCTCGACGTGTTGCAGGTCGACGCGAACCGACGCCAACGGTGGGCGGACCTCGTCGCCGTGGACGGACCGGGTCGGCTGAGGGCGTCCATCCAGGTTCGGCCCGCAGATGCTCCCAAGGTCAAGCCGCTCTTTCCTCGCCTCGAGGTGGACGCCGCATGACCCGGGACGTGGCCGCACGACGGCCTCCAACGGAAGGAGCCACGAGGGCCGCCCGGTTCGGCCCGAAGGTTTCGTGTTTGCTGCTCGATCGAGAAAGTCATTCTCGATATCGCTGCCGGCGCCGCCGTCGCCGCCATTGTTGGCGCCGCCACCACCACCATATTTCGGCCATGCGTCCTGCATTGTGGAATCCTTTTTCGACGCCGGAGCGAGCTGCCCGGCTCGCGAATCCCGAGCAGATGCCCGCGGGTGCTTGCTGGGATCGAAGCGCCTGCCTGGCAGTTGCGTGTGTGCGCACGCTGGACGTTCTCTCAGGATGCAGAATGCAGAAGACCCCCAACGCAGCGGAATGGCTGTCGGAGTCGAGGTGCTCTGAGACGCGGGGCCCGATATGCGTGGCAGCTGTGCGGCGACGGGCCTGCTGGCCTGGGAGCTGCCCTGTCTGCCCGCCTGGCACCGGATGCCGAGCGAAGCCAAGGACGACGGACGAGAGAGCAGGCGGGGCCTCGGTCGACTCGCACGCACGCGGCCCGGCGACGCCTGCCTTGCCAGCGAGCTTCAGGCCTGGCCTGCCTGCCTGCCTGCCTGTTGAGGCATGCGTGCGTGGCGTGCGTGTCCCGTGTCGGTCGGCCTCGTCCCTCGTGCCTGCTTGCTTGCTTGCTTCTGCGCTGCTGGCTGCTGCTTCTCTACACCCTGCCGGCCTGATGCTGGTGCTTCTACTCTCTAACTCTTTCCCAGCTGCCAGACCGGCCTGCCTGCCTGTCGCCTGTCCGTGGTGCCTGACAGCAGAATTAGGCGCCTGACTCCTGAAAAGTCCAAGCAAGGCCGGATTTTCCAATTTGAGCTCTGCAGCGAGACCACGAGACAAAAGCTAAGATACGTAGAGAGGCAGGCCAGGCCAGGCAGGGTACGGTGGAAGCAAGCCAAGAAGGCAGGTGTCGGGCCAGGCGCCCCCCCACGCCTTGCTTCTCTCTGCTCGAACACCGGCAGCAGGCCACCGTGGACTGGACACCGGTGCGCCCTTTCTTTGGCACCACACCACATGAGCCAGCCTGCCTCCTGCCCTCTTCCCACCCGATCCCTAACCTTCGCTTCGCTCCCGCGGTCTCGGTCACGAGCACCACGCCAGATAGAGGCTCTTCCGCTTTTCTTCTTCCTACGACGGGCAACGCCGCTGCAGCTGCCGCCACCACCACCATCACCATCACCATCACCGACGTCCGCCGCCGGCCACTGGCCCCGCCTGCTCCGTTTCTTCTTCAGCCCCGCGCGGCCTCTTTGCCGGCGAAACGCTGCACCGGCTCCTCTCGCATAAGTCCGACCTGCCTTGCCTAGTCACTGGCCTCGACGACACGACAACCGTGTCAACGGATCCGGCACCGCCTTAGCCTCACCACTACCACCCGTTGCCAACAGCACCCCTCTCAGAGAGTCGCAAGCGTAGCAACCAGCCACCTCGTGCAGTACTTGGACCTCGCTTGTTCCCGTCCGGTCTCTTGAAGTTCCCGGCCCACACCGTCCAACCCCGCCAGGCAGCCGGTCTACTGCATGGCTTCCCTCGGTTTGCGAACGGCTTCCTTCAGCATCTACGACGACATTGCTGAGCCTCAACGTCCTCTCACAAGCCGCAGTCTGTACCGCCATCCCGGCCGCCGCCGCCTCGATACCATCGCATTCAAAGACAGCATCCAGAATCGAACTCCTTGTCCAAGCGCTCATTCTGCGCATCCACCAACCGCGAAGCCGGCCATCCGATCGCATCTTAGCTCTCTGATCAATCTAGACGGCGGCGCACCCACATTGCCTCGCCGATCCTCGTAGGAGACCTCGGTGTAGGACCGGTCCATAAGAGGTCGCATCTCGAGCGAGGAAGGGGGGATCCAGCAGGAGCTAGTGACTTCCTCCGCCAAAATGAAAGAGGCGAGAGTCGTCATCATGGGTGGTGAGTAGAAGGCGTCGCTCACGGATCTGGTCACCCGTCGTCGCGACCGAGACCTTCCCCCAGCTGATTCCATGGCCCACCCCTTCTCTTTTGACGTGATTAGGGGGCGGCGTGGGCAAGTCTGCCCTGACGGTGCAGTTCGTGCGCAACGTCTTCGTCAGCACGTACGACCCGACCATCGAGGACACGTATCGCAAGATGCTCAGCATCGACGGCCAACAGTGCCTCGTCGAGATCCTCGATACAGCCGGCACAGAGCAGTTCATGGCGCTCAAGGAGCTCTACATCAAGAGCGGCCAGGGGTTCGTGCTCGTCTTTTCGCTGACGCACCTGGCCAGTGTCAACGAGCTAGGTCCGTTGCGAGAGCAGATTGTACGCATCAAGGATGCCAAGGTGAGCCCTACGATGCTTTGGTCGAGACCGAAGCAGTCACCGCCTTTTCCGCTGGCGTGCTGATGGACGTCTCGCTCGCCCCCCCCCCCCGCNCNCGCTCNCGCCCGCNCGCGCNCGCGCGCGCGCNCGCGCGCGCGCGTCCGCGCGCGCGCGCGCGACGCGTCGCGCGCGACGTACC